AGGGATGGTGCGCCACCAGCTCATTTCTTCCACCAATCCAGGGTAAAAACAGGCTCTTTCTTCTTGATTTCTGCCACCAGGCTCCTATTTGGGCTGAGTCACTGTCCAATGCAAGGCCCTTTATCTCTGTGATGGAAGACATCTTGTGATATCTTTATCACTGGCATGAAAAGTTACAACCAGGTTTCATTTTATGCCATTTCAGACACAGTAGTTGACATCCAAGGTCAAGAACCTTTGCCCACACCAAGCTGTGCACTTCAAGGAAGTTGTATTTTCTGGTCAAAAAACATTTGGAGACAGAAGCCTGTACCTCCTCTCTATCACTGCTGGCTTTTACACTTGTTTTTAGACATAGAAGATCCCCCTTTGGCAGCTCTAATGCAGATGGGCATCCAGTAAGTGTCCTCAGTTTAAGCACAGGAGAGATCTAGCCATAACATTGAGGCTTTACAGAAACACAACATCACTTTGAATAGCCAGAGCCATATAAATACACACATTCAGGTTTGATTTTGTCAGTTTTGCTCATAATGTCAGAACTGGTGGGGATTTTATTTATATATGTGTGTATATACATATATCGTCAGTTAAACCTTTAGTTCCTTTGCTATGGAAAACATATACTATGACTTCTGCACAGGTAGAAGTATTTTTGCAAGAGGAGCGATAAGCTTCTGCAAAGGAAGTGTTTATTCACTGATCAGTGAGTAGTTATATCTGGAACTGACGCAATGCAGCTTCAGTTTTCCAACAGTAAACTCCAAGTATAATTCGGGAGGGAAAAATCATCTCTCTGGTTTGCTTATGTTTCAGTAAATCGTGCATCTGTGTCCAAGAACTTTTCAGCTCATTAATTCAGCAACAACATAAAATATATACAAAATTAGGGTGCAGCTTTCAAAAACAGGCTCCTCAAATGAGGTTTCCAGATCCATATTTAGGGCCATGAATCTGATTTTCTAAACTACTAACCACCCGCCAGACCACGCAGATCACTGACGGGAGCTCGGCGCTTCTGAAGGCTGCACGACTAGCTGACAGCATCCAACTTTCTGACAGCCTTCTGGCAGAGACAGCTTTCGCAAGCTTCATAAAACATGAAAGGCCAAAACAACATGTCCTGCAATTATCCACACTGAAAAACAATCTTAATTAATATCATCGCTACTCCCTTTACACTTAAACTGCCACTGAAAAGTTTTGCTTTTCTTTCATTTCCTTCCCTTTTCCCTAATACTTTAAGCCTGCCCTTCAAGTCTTTATCGTACCATCAACCTGATTTCAGTGGTGTTTGTTGTGCACTGTGCCAGATCTTACTCTTTTTGTCAGGATTACTCAGCTTACTATAAGCTCAGCAACTGCAGTCTCAGAGAACACACACTGTTCCACTAAAATACTCGGGTTCAGATTTGCATCTGTACAACGCTGATCTCGGTGACATAGCAAAGATTTAGATGTAAGGTTCAAAATACTAATGAGATAACTAAAATCAGATTTCTGCCTTTATCCAAATTAAGCATTTAGAGGAAAATATATTCATTGAAAGTATAAAATACTAAACCTAAGTAAATGTAGAATATTAACTTGAAGTTACCCAGTTGTTATTCCTCCTTTCCATCAAGTAATGGTGTGGATGAGGGCACAAAATGCCACCTTTCTGTAAGACTGACACCTATGTTCTCAGGTCAAAAGCCATCAGGACCAGCTAGAGTCAACAGTTTGATCACTGAAGTCCAAAATAATCTTTTTACTTACTTGGGTTTGTGAGGAGGGTGTCAAATTTTGTCTTCTCAACAAAGTAAAGGTTTGAAGAAAAGGCCAGTCTCACCTTCCCCAGAACTAAGACCCTACTGAAAATACAGCAATATCTCCCTGATGTAATCCATACATTTGGATGCTTTTGTTTTGGCTTAGCTAAAGAGATTCCCTAGTCAATTCAGACTAAATTGAATTAAACAGAATGAAAGTGAGTGTTCAGAGCAATTTGTTCTGAAGTCATACTCAAGGTTAAAACGCTGAGCCTTTCTTTCTAGACTGGCCACATATTCTCAAAGGGATCATGTAAAACAGCATCTCCTCCTTCTAAATCAACTGTTCACTCAAGAGGTTTCCAGTCCAGGAGTGACTCCTAATAAGACACAGCTTGTTTGCATGTAACACTTATAATCCTCTACTAAGACTAAAAGTGCTAGGACTGCTACTCGAGTGATGTTCACACCATTACAAGACTTTAAATACAGAATATAATATATAGCATTAAAATTGGGTGTACACAAGCAAGCAAGTTTTTCCCCAAACCAAGGATATTGAAATCACAAGCCAATTCTTTTTAAAAACATAAAGATGCTTAACTTCCAGCCATTTCCATACCAGGCTCAGGACATAAGCACATCCTGATAACAGCATTTCCCAACAAGCTGTCCCTGCCTCCTTTCCCTTCTCCTCAGCATATCATCTAGACTCTCGTTCCCCAGCACAGTTTATCCCTAGTTGACCAGTCAGTTTCAGCTTTTGGATGTGAACCTCCCCCTAATCACTCTACTCTCTCATTCCACCTGGCTCCCACAGCTGTCCCAGTTTTATTCCAGTTTTTCATTCCCCATCATTATTCTTCCTTTGTGTTCCTCATCTGCAGTCCAAACACTTTGTCACAAATTTGCCTTTTGGGGTTTCTCATAGGATCTTATTTTCTTCTCAAATGCTGGGTCATTACTCCCACATACACCAGATTCCTTACCCTTAGTTTGGACCCTGTTTCCTAACTCTTGTAGCATTTCAAATCATCGTCTGCTCCTTTCTGGTGCCTTAACCCACCTACAGCATCACTACAAATCTAGTTTCTCCCGTCAGGTAAGGCGCACAGACTTGATACAGCCTTCAGCACCTCCAGAACACATCAGGCCTTCAGGAGACTTCTGTCATGAAAGACTGGCATCTGACCAAGTGGAAAAAAAAAAATGACAGAAAGCACATTGACATCAGAGTCAGCACTAAAATCAATGCTTGCTCCCAGCTGCTGGATGGTGTTTCATGCGGCTGCACACAAGGGTCTATTTCACTGGCATCATGATTGGAAAAAAAGATGTAACTAAATTTACTTTATCTTGGGGAGGGAAGAAAGATGCCAGTACAAATGGGAGATGAGAACCACACAGAACTAGTATTACACAAGTAGGGCAAGTTCTGGTGGAAGCAGGTGAACTGCGCAATTACCAGCAGCTGGAAACAGGGCCTCAGGTAGCACCAGGCAATGATTAATTATCAGCACTGCCATTCCACTGCGTAACGGGTGCCAGCCAGGCTAAAAACCAATTTCCATCTTCAAAACAGTTCAAGCCAGAACTTCTTTTCTACTGTCAACTCTTTTCTACTGTATGCGCCATCGTGGACACTTTGCATCATTTTCACTATCCAGCAGAAAGACTGAATGCTTAAATTCTAACTGCTGCCTGGAACACTGAACCACCCTACCGAAACTCCCAAAACTAATACAAGGCACTTAAACCGCTAATGCAAGCAGTTGGCTAGATGCTGCAAATGCTTACCAGTCCCACAAGGGCAATACTGAGGAATGGCATGTCCTGCTACTAACAAATATCCTCACTCAGAGGACATTCACAAGCAGCATCCACAGCACATGTGAAAAACACCACACTTCTCCAGTATGACATCTCCCCCAGTCACTGGTACATTTTGGCCAGGATTTACAGCCCAAATTAAATGGTATTTCCTCCTTAGGCTCCTGCAAAATACTTACATTCTGGGCACTGTGACCTGTGGGAATTAGAAAAGGTAACAACTCTGAGTATCACAAAGCTGGCTAATTTTTCAATGACACACTCTGGTCTCAGTGGAGCATTAAATAAAATTTCTACAGCAGTCTGAAGAGCAAACCGTGATGCATGACAAGAGTGGTTCTCCTAACCTGAAGATCAGCTGCAGAACAGAGGCACCCTACCGAAACCACTTCTTTGTGCATGCTATTTACACACAGGTTTTAAAGTAGTAGTAGTAACAATCTAGGCTTCAACATATACTCATCTTGCCAAAACACAACCAGAAATGCCCTTTCTAAAGTGTGTGTAACTTAGGCCATTAGAAGGTTTAAGGAGGTTACAAGCATCAAAAGTCTAAATCAGTTGCAATAAACCCTGGCTTGATTTAAATCCCTTAATTAAAACCAACTAAAAACCAGGATTTGGTGTTGTATCTCAGTCCAACCCTCACATCAGTTGTGCCACCTTGTAACTTTGGTCTTTATTTCCAGTCCCTATCACCAGTGACACCGATTAATAATAGTTCTCCAGAGCACTAGCTCTTGAGAATTTAAAGTACGGCAATATGGGATCCTAAAGCACACTGAAGGAAAACACGGTGTGCACAAAGCAATCTTCTACACTCAGGTAATGGCTAGGCAGCACCATTCAAAGGCCTCCAAAACCCAATGACAGTGCTTACGGTATCACCTCATTTTTGGAAATCCATTTCAACATTGCAAAGCTTTGTATTTTGAACAATATGGGTGCAAAGAGATAACAACCTTTAAAGGTACAGAAAAATTGATGGTGGGGTACCCCAACAGAGAAGTTTTGCAATACTGCCACTGTATTCTAAACATATAAGACCTGGTTTCGATTTCATGTAAAATATCCATTTACAGAGCACTGTGAAAAGTCACATGGACACTTTTGCATAATTTGCATAACAAAATGTACTTTTCCATACAAAACTGGAAAAGACTCTATAAGTGCGGGGCCAAGCACCTTTTCATTCTATATACTTAACAGGCAACGTAACTATCTGCACTACCAAGAAGTCCTACCATGGTGGACAGACTTGACCTTCTACCAGAAATGTGCCCATCAATGCCTCAGATATTAACTTACTGAGTAGAAAAGAGTAGATAATAGATAGGAAGATCCTTTGACTACCACCACCAAAGTGAAATACTAACATCAACAGCAACCTTAATTCAAGAGAGAAAACTTGCAAGAAAAAAAAATGTTGAATGTTTTAATGCATTTTGAATCATAATGAAAAACATTTTACATCTAAAAACAAATTAGCAGAATAATAAAAAGTGGTTCCACATAACTTACAAATTCTTTTTTTCCAAAAATGTAGTTTTCACAGATTTAGGCAACAAATAGGATGTTTCATTCCAGATCTTTCTGACTGTAATCACAAAACTGTGTGAAAATTGACACGCATTGCCTGAAAGACAGAAAAGCTTGATTTTGCCCAGTGATGAGTTCTCTGTGAAATTCTGCACAACACAACCTGTAACTGCAACTCTCCTCCATTTTATGAAATGCTGGACATTGTTCAGTGCTGAAAAACACTCTTTAGAACATTCAAAGCCATGAAATGTTTCCCACATAATTTAGTCGGTGTAGTATTATTCACCACCACTGCTCACGTGTGATTTGCTTCTAGGGGAATAGCAACTTCCGCTTCACCTTTGGTTCAGTATATAAATTAAGCTAAGTGGTAGTTGAATGTTCAGCTGATTTAAGTATTAGCCTGCTTCTAAGAGCGTGGCTCTAGCACCTTGTTTAGTTGATTTTTTCCAAAGTGAAAGCATGTAATCATCCCATTCCTGGTGCCAGAGGATGGTCCCTCTGGTGATATAAAAAGCTTGCAGCAATGATGATTGAACTGCATAGAGTCTAGTGGTCCTGTAATACATATGCGTTAGAGAAGCTTAAACAGACACTTTAGTTCAGCAGGATCAAACCCAGTGACCCTCTCCTCATAATAAAAGGATAGTCATTGCTCAAGACATTACATGCAGGCCATGCTGGAAAAACTGCTTCTGCTGGCTGGACAGATAATTTTTCTTTTTTAAACAGCATCAACCTGTGTAAAGTACTCTCTGTTACCAACTGAAAGCGAGTTTTTTCTTCTTCAAGCATAAAACCATCAACACAACATCAAATGGCTTTTCCCAAGAGTTAAAACCCCAGGGGAAATAGAAGGAAAAAAAAAAGGTGAAAATAAACTTTGATACCATCCTTTAACCCTTGTTATCAGAAGACTTAAAACTCTGCAGCTGCTTTCTCCAACCTTGGCTTGGTATTTTAAGATTACTTCAGTACAATACTGTATATATCTTGTACCTAAAAAAAAAAAAAAGTAAAACAAAACAAAAAAAAACCCAACCCAAACAGAAAAAAGAAGGGCCCAAGCTACTATGACGACTTGTTCTGTAGAGATACTGCATACATTCTCCATTTAATACCTTGAGCTTCTGTAAGGTTATGCTCCAAAACTATGTATAGGACCCCAATTTCCCTGCAATTCCTCAGTGACACATTAACCATCCCATCCCATTGCACTCCAATTCCACTATTTGATAGTTAACAGCAGAACCAGTTAACACATCCGTATTGACACACGTCATTATAAACAATAACTGTAGGGGACATGAGCACAGCTATAGTTTCATGAAATTATAGTGATGAAAGTTCCTAATACTTAATTTATACCACCCATCATCAGCCCCATGATTCCCCTGTAAGAGCACACCCCTGGCTTACCCACACCCTTCATCTTATACCATGATATGTCAGAGTTAGGGGCAGTATCTCCCTTTAGCTAAAAAAGAAGTGTCTGTAAACAGCCTTTTTGTTCTTTCAAAGACATCAGCTGCCACCTGCATTTACTTCTATAATCAGCAGCTGCAGTGTAACACCCCACTGCCAGTGCAAAAAAAGCTAAGCACAGTGAGGAGCAAAACCAGAGTAAGATCATTTGGGAGAAAGAAGGGAGACTTGGGTTAATTACCCCCTCCTAGAACAGAATAGAGGCTACAGCAGCCCTCACCAGGGCTGAGAACAGAAAGGTAACAGATGATGTTTACTTATCATATTGCTCCATTAGCTTTAAGTGTTAGCTGTCTTGAGGATCACATTTAATATGATTGTCTTTCGTGTCAGAGATAGTACTTCAGGCAGAGACCAAAAGTGCTTTTTTTCTAGGCTACAGAGAGATCCAATGCATCTTGACCATTCACTTTTGAGGTAGTACTCATTTACTTTGTATTGCTGGCTCGAAATAAAAACATGGGAAGTGAACACAATTAAAAGTATGCTCACTGTAAGTATATAAACAAGGAAAAAATAAAAAAACAACTCCCAAAACACTTACTTCCTTTCTGGGCAGATCACCAAAACAAAGCAATCCTTCTTACAAAGGTCAGCTCACATTCACTGGTAAAGTCAAACTTTCATAAATGGTTTATAACAATAGCTATAAACTAAAGTGCTTCAAAATTTGCTTGACAAGATCTCAGTGACTGGAATAATAATATTCCGGATTTTTTGCTAGTATGAAATGCCATGAGATTTTAAAATAATTTTATATAAGAAGGGGAGAATGAATTATTATTTTTTTCAGAAGAAAAAGTACAAAAAGCATTCCAAATAAACCTGGCAGTCTATACTCACGACAAGCTGCTTGCATTCTCCTTCTCAAATCTACTATTTCCCAGTAACAGGAATAAAAATGGAGTTGAAGTTGCACTATACTGCAGCACTAAAAAAGGTATTCCAAATCAGATGCAAACAGGAAAATGTTTACAATCATACAACTAATGAAATTCACACTTCATTTCAAGGTTTTAGCCCTGCAGATTCTTTTTAACACAAGGCAGATATGTAATCATGAAAAAATGTAACAGACTGCTATACACCCTCTACATTAATTACAAAGTTTCACATTTATGTCACAAATGTAATGCCCTACTGTGTATCTATTAAATGCTAAATAACTTATGAACATTTATGTGCTCTATGCAACAGTGAACATATTGACCAGTGGATGCCAAAATATAAAAGTTCATACACGAGACTAATTAAAAAAACAAAACAAAAAACATCACATTTTCTGTACAATTCATGCAAACTGTGCACAATGTGGTAACAAGAACATCTGCTAAAGTTTCCACTTAAGGAAGAGATTTTACAGCGACAGCAGACCAGTGTTCAGAAGTCTGTAGAAGTGTAGAAGTCCATGGCAACATAAAACACAGAAATTCTTCCAGCATTTCATTTTTCTTGTAACAAAGCAGGGATGTTGATGTTCCAACCAATAGCCTGACGATCAAATCCGCATGTGAAGAGGTTACATACTGGATGGTCCTCACTCCATGCTGAGCAGCACACCATTCTTCTGTGGCCCTGCAACAGTGCAGAAGAAAGCAGTATTACTTATATCTTGAAAGCTCCCATGTCAACAGATCATTGTGACTCAAAATGCAAACTTGCTAATGCTCATGGTAGTTTTTACAAACAGTACTTGAGAATTCCAGAGATCACTGTTACTTTCACCTTTATAATGATGAGACTCAATATCATCACCAGATCCATAATGACAGAAGGATATGAACAGGGGGATTAAAACTTTGGTGTTTCAAAGGCGTGTTTGCCATCTCATTACATTTTACTTACAAAAGCAAATTGAATTTTGATTTTAGCAATTTTAAGAGCAATCTTAAAATACGCAGCTACTTGCCAGCAACTGTACTGCTATAAACCTGCAAGATTAAGTGTCCATCATGTTCATAATTCAGAAAGATTAATACTACTGCAGGAAATATGTCATACTGAGGAAAAGCAATGCCTCATCTATTGTTCAAATCCAACAGTAACAAAAATGGCCCAAAGAGCATTCTGACCAACATTTAAGTTATGCCAAAAAATTTGCCATGATTCAGTAGTGTCAGCCTGAATGGAACTATTAAGGGAAAAAAAGAAAAAAAAAAAAAAGGAGAAAAAAGAAACAGAGATTAAACAATAGAGTAAAAATAACTAAACTAGGAAAAAGACTAAAAAAGGCTAAGCTTTAAAACCCCTTCTGAAATTGTGTCAAGAGCTGCTGAATCAACCCAAAAAAAAGCCTATTGAAGTGGCACAATCCAATTAATTTCACTTAGTCTAATTTGCTCCATTAGTGATGCTTGCCATGCCAAATAGCACCACAAATGCACAAAACTTGATGGCTGCAGCAAGAATAGTTTAGTGCATGGTACCAAATATCAAGAATGCATGTGCATAAGCAGGGAAGTTAAAAAACAAAATCACCAAATCATACAAGGTGAGCTCACAAAAATGATCCCCACGTTTTTCCTTTTATGTTTCTTCATTTAACAAGTTAAATACTATGTAATTGAAAGAAACAAAACAAACCACCATCATTAAACCTCTTAGTAAGCCACTTTCCTGATACGATTCACATCAAGACATCTGAAATACTCTTACACATAATATGCATCTGAAATGCTCTTACACATTTCTTCCACGTCATAAAGAAGATGGTTTCACTTTAGTAAGGAGAAAAATGATTATGACATCCACTTGAAATACCATTTCTAATTCCAATTAAAAAATTCAAAATGTTACTTATTTGCATGTTGGTCATTTTCAATAACAATAGCCCATTTGTATAGACAAGTGTCTTTCAGTATTTGTTCAGCTTTTAAGCTAGAGAGAGCAAATGTTACTTTTAACCTTGTATGAAAGAAGAGCAGACATACTTTAAGGCTACAAATATTCAGTTACCTGTCTATTACTGCGAGGGAGGCGTGCTAATCGAACTCCTGACATGTCGAATAATCTAACCTGTCGGTTGTCATGTGGAAGGGCAATGATTCTTTGGCCAACACATACGTTAATCCTGCACAGAAGAGACAAAAGTAGGTGATGTACAAAACAATGAGAATAGAACTTGACAGGACAAGTTTAAGCTCACGGGAAGTGATACAGCCGAATTTTTTTCCTGACTAAAATTCACAAGCGAAATAAAAGGTATTAAACCTTTTAAGGTGTTTTCTATTGTATGAGATGCTCAAGGAGCCTTAATATCTGCATCCCATTAAAAAAAAAAAAAAAAAACAACTCAGAAAAGCAATACTATGTATTTACTGAAAATTAATGTGACTACACCTGCATTTTATAAAACCACTTGAGACCTTTTCAAAATCTCACAAATCTCAATTTTAATTTTAGTGACTAAAATTAAATGTATATTCAGTGAATTGACAGAATGGACTATTTCAGTTGGAAGCTACCTACAACAGTGTCTCTGCCCATGGCAGGTGGGTTGGAACTAGGTGATTTTTAAGGTCCCTTCCAACCCTAACCATTCTGTGATCATGAAGCTCAACTGCTTAACCAATTCAAGGCTGACTAAAAGCTAAAGCATGTTATTAAGTGCATTGTCCCAATGCCTCTTAAAACACTGACAGGCTTGGGGCATCAACCATCTCCCTAGGAAGCCTGTTCCAGTGTCTGACCAGTAAACAAATGCCTCCTGAAGTTCAGCCTAAACCTCCCCAGTGCACCTTTGAACTATTCCCACACATGAAAGAAATTAAGAATTAAATAAGAAAACATGAATTAAGAAAAACAGTAATTCAGATCTGCTTACCTGTTGACTGCAGAATCTGTACGGATTGTTGCAATAGGAGACCTCATGTTTTTCAAGTCCCAAACTTTCACAGTACGGTCATCACTACCAGAAACAACATTGTCTCCCACAGTGAAAACTGCAGATGTCACAGTGCTGAACAATCAGAAGTAAAAAGAAAGATTTCAAGTTCTAAACTAGCATCTGATTGAAAGTTCTATTTTCTGCTCCCATGTTTCCTTTAAAATGTTACTTGCCTTTTTGATTGATTGTTTTTAACCAAAGTAACCTGAAATATTAAAACTCTATGTGGATATTTTAGAATAAAAAAGTATTCTTACAAGAACCTCTGTCACTTAAGGTATACTGGACTTGACTGGTCCAAGCACTAAGTGAAGTCCAACAACAACAAGACACTTAGAGGCATCTTTCATATTCCACTGACCCTACCATGAGCTCGTCATGTCCAGTCTTGAAATCTTAATTCACTTTCGAAGTTCTGTATTAATGTCCAGCAGACTTATCAGACATCCAAAACTGAATTAGTAGCATACACTTCAATTCTTCTCAAGTGTTTTGAGACTAGGAATCAAGTTTCTTAGTTTCCATCCAAACACTCCTCTAGAACTCTCCAAAGGGATTATATAAAGAATTTTCTTTTAGAATTTTATTGTCTTTGCATTTGACCCTTTCAGAGAACAGTATATTGCTGAGTTCAGATAAGCAGTTCTTATGATGAGCTTTTACTTTTATTTCACATTAAGAAATTAATGGTTTTGTACTAATACATTCACTTTAATACTGCATGAATTCCCAACTCAAGACCACTCACTTTCTGCCCGCGCAATGTACTAACAAGGCATTTTTGTCTCTCTCTAAAATCATTAGGGAAAGCTGCTCAAATCTGTCTCTACAGATTTGATTTAATGACCTATCTTGTAACTTGGGTCATGCACGTCAATTTCTTAGAATTTAGGAATTTTAATTTAAGTTGTCAGCTGCTACTGTCGCTTTGGTTGTTCTGCAGCAATTTGAATTCATGTCCTATTCAAGCTGCTAACTGAGATTAGCACTAGCCAGGTCACAACAGACCAGGTTATGCAAGCCTCTTAATTTATACTGACACTAAATTAAGTTTTAATTAAGATGAAGTCCCACTTTATTCCTGATACCAAGTTTCCTAATGCATTCTTAGAGTGCACCTGAGCTACCAGGGAGATTATTACAGTAAGAACCAGGAGGTCTTCACCTAATCTTCTGGACTTTATGAACTAAGAGTTAGGACATACATGAAAGACACAACTAACAAGTTTCTTTCGTCAGCCACCTTCACATTTGGGAAGAAAACTGATTCATGTAGTCAAGTTACTGCAGGATAAGAGCTGGAATGTTCTTAGCACTGAACTTTTCTCCACCAGTCTGACCTCCATTACACTCACCACCATCTGCATTTCCTTCCTCACCAGTTTACACAAGCTCCAAAATACCCCAGTAAAACATTGTCTTTTCACTGAACTCTGTACTGCTGTTACACATTTGAAACAATGTTTATACATTTAAAATTCACTGTAAATCTCCATACTTTGTACACACATTAGGAGACTTCCTTATGCAAACAGTATAAGCAGTATAAGGCATTCAAGTCATAGAAAAGCTCCAGATGAATGAATATACAGCGTCTTTTAGTATTCTGCTGCCAACAGATAAATCCAATCTGTTTTTCATCATACATTTTATTCCAATTATAGCTGGAATATATTGTGAAACTGCCTTAAAATAACCCTCCAATTTTGAATGTTGGGTTGGTTGGGTTTTTTTCCACAACTTTAAACAGCTTTCCAACTTCTTTGATCTCATACTGGTTCTCCTTTATCACTTATCACTGTCAAACAGAGTTATATTTCTTTGACCACATAAAGTTATCGCATTTTTAGATTTATCATTTTTCAAATGAAAGCATTCAAAACTATCACCATGCAAACAGAATGCCAGCTCTAGATTAGCTCGACCCCTACTTGTCCTGTAAAATCAGAAAGATTCTCAGAAGAAAACAAAATCCTTCCCTGTGCTGTTTGCGGTTTAACTATTCATTCAAATATCACTGGGTACACTAAGAAAAAGTTTGTAAAAAAAGAAAAATGTGGTGAAGTTCTGCTATAGCTCTCTCTGTTGAGTGGGAAAGTGATAGAAGAGCAAAGGGAAGGCTTGTCAGGCTGTTTTCAGCAAACATCTTTAAAGGTGTTCAGTGGTCTTACTCCTCTCCCTGCCCTGTTCATTACCCTAAGGCACTGCAGGCTGGGATATCCACTATTTGCAAGCACACATGACTTAAAAACAGCCTTTTCCATTTGAATTCAAAGGCTAGATAGAAAAGGCCTTTCTACTGAAGTATGATAAAGAATTTTGGTCACAGTTTCAAAGCAAATAGTATATGGACATACTGCTCAACAGTCTCAGATATTACACTTTTAAAAAATGAAACATTACTCTTCTAGGACAACTTGAAGCTACACTTGATTTAATTCTCAAAGACATCTCATTTTCAAAATAAGACTGCAAGAATAGAAGTTTTAAGTAACTTAATAACAAGGCCACAAGCAGTATCAGTCTCACACTTGACAACTCTGGGGAGGGTTTATCAGCACCTGATTGTCATGTGAGTAAAGACCAGGCAGGTTTTTGTTTGTTTGTTTTTGTGGGGTTTTTTAAGTGGAACATTTTGAGTTCATATTTATAAAAAAAAAAAAAGAAACACACCAAAAAAACAATAAACACATACGCTTGAATTCAAGAACATGTACACCACTATTGACTTCAGACATGAGCAAGTGCTGTGCGCACAGGTTCTCTTACGTACTACAGACCATGATTTGCATCCACTGCTATTCCGAACTGGGGCATCTTACCTCATATTTTTGTTTTGGTTTGGGTTTTTGTTTGGTTTTAACTAAAACAGGATTTCAGCCAAACTGAAAAAAAAAGAAGGTGAGAAGAAAGGGAAGCAAAGTCTATGTTGTAAGGAAGAGGCTGTCAGAGCAGCCAATATACAAATAACCTTTCAAAAGTATTGCCTCCCTAACCCCACCCATATCACAAAGACTAAGACTTATTCCTATATTTTCACAAAGCTAGTTTTACTTTCTGGGATTTTTACTAGCCTTCCATTTGTTCTAATACAGCTAAAACTGTGGTTAACATCCCCTTGGCTAAATTAATAAAAAGCATCAACAAAAGATCATCAGCCCCTGTGTTAATGGAATGCTAGAAGACATTAGGCTTTTAATAACTCAAAAGGATGACAGGTATTGTAGGACATCTAAAAAAAAATAAAAAATGCAAAGAGGAAGCAGCTTTATGACACTTCAAACTGTGGGTCCCATAGGGAGTTTGGTGTGCTACAACTATTCTCCAGGAAAGCTTCAGCCTCCGCCAAACCCCAGCAAAACTCATTTATCTTGTCATAGGGAGCAGCCGAGCGTATACTTCCAGCTGACAGCGTGGCACTTCCTCACCACACACCGCTGCCTGGCCTCGAACATCCTGCTCCCTCCGTGGGTCTCAATCAACAGAAATACTGTAGTGCTAGCACTCCTCATTAGGCTGAACAGCTGTCTCCCCAGTCACACTGAGCCACAAAACTGTTTTGCATAACAATTTGCTGAAATTTCACACATAGGAGAAGAAAAAAAAAAAGGAAGAAGAAAAAAGAAAAAAAATATGTTGAAAATGTTGCACCATGAAATGCTGATGCACAAACCTTACTGGCAATGCACCAGAAAAAGTTAACACTGCTGTTTCCATTTTGATTTGCAGGCTATACTGGGATTTACTGTTGAACCCTGAGAGACATGTTTTCATGCCTGTGAAAAGGCATCTACTCATAAGCATTAATCTGTGTGTGGGATGAAGTTCTGGAGAAAACAGACTAAAGAGAGCTTTCATATAAATTTATTCCATGTACACCACATTGTATTTAAAAAGCAAAATTTGAATGTTCAAATATGCTCCCCTCATTTTAAGTAGTAAAATTCAGACACAAAGCCTAAAAGGAAGCTCTATATGGTTACAGCATTTCCTGTGCAAGAGCTTTCTTTCTTTTAGGGGGACAGAACACAACCCACACAGAGAAGCCTGCAGAGAAGTCATGATATGGAGAACAGTTTGCCAGACTGAAAGAGCGATGGCATTGGCCACAAAAGTCCCAGGTAAGAAGCACACCAATACCAGCATGTCTGTGCATTCAGGTTTCAGAAACACTAAAGTCACTTGATTCCAGGAAGAGCTACACAGAGAATTCCCAAAGTCTGTGGATTTATCTCCCAATATCAGCAGAAGTCTTTCTTCCAACTTGAGAAATGGCAAGAACAAACCATAAAGGAATTAACACAAAAACAGGGTGGGGGAGAAATTCAGAGCCAACTGTTAGCACTAAGAAGTATTTGTTTTAGTATTTAAATCAACAATGGCTATTCCAGAGATATGCATTTCATGACATTTACAGAAAACTGCCATTATCTCCTTTTCTCACTATCTGTCCTAAAATAATAAAATTATACAGGATTGAAAACAGTAACTAGCTTTTATGAGAATTACTCAATGGCAAGTTAGTAAATTAGTTAAGGTGCAGGTATTTTTCAAATCAATCCCATTACATTGATGATGGGATAAAACAAGTCCATTTATCCCTGCAGTATTGCTGTGTTACCTAAGCTTTAAAATGACAACGCACCATAAAACGTTATGCTCCACTCACTAGGATACAAAGAAAAGGCCTTTGGCTATGCTCTTTTGTGGGTCATTTAAAAAAATGATAGCATTTCTTAGTGCATGCATTCAAGAATGGAGTTAAGATTCTCCCCATCTATTGTAGTGATGCTAAAGCACTCATAAGTAACTGGATGCAGATTTATTGCCTACATCTTTTTAAAGTGACTGACAAAACTAACAGCTAACACAAAGTGCAGTCAAACTTGGTATCTTACATACTCCACTCCTCAAAATAAAACACCTAAAGGATTTGTTGTTTGTTTTGTTTTGTGCTGTTTCTTGTAGCTAGAGGGCTTTTGATTTTAAGCACTTACTCTTACAGCTTAAGGAGTTTATTCAATTTTTATATTTTCTTATTAATTAGAAAGCAATTTTTACCATAAGGAATTTTGCCAATGACAACAGAAAAGCTTCAAGAACATAAAGGAAACAGAACTATTGAATAATGTTCTCTTTCAAATTGCTTTTTCAGCAGTTCAACAACTCCATGACAGCATTAGGTTGAGGGAAGGTTAGAATAAAAAATGAGGTATTCAAGCTATGCAAGAAAGCAAAGACAGGTAACTTGGCTGAGCTGAAGGCACAGGAACATTCCAGCCCCATCTGTCCTGAAACAGATTCACAGGAAAGCTAACAACATAGGAAGTTAGACAACTTCAAAGCTTGATGCTTGAGTTACCGGCTAATAAACTGCTAACACCTCTAAGAACACCACTGAAACCTTGACATGCTCTATTACATATATGTAATAAATGCAAACCAAAAGGGTTTTATATGTACATGTTTAGAAGCACAACATTTTAAAAGTTAAACCTAGAGCTTAAAGTCCAGGCCATAACCTTCATTTAGAGAACAGACAACATGCACAGGTGGGATCAGAACAGTGTTTGAAAGCAAGTCTGGGGCCTTTTTCAATGAAATTTAAGAGAACAAAAAAAAAACCCCACAAACCAACAGCAGGCAGAACAAGGCAGGAATACTAACAGTAATACCAGAATCATCTAGTTAATCAGTAAGGCTTGGGGAGAAAACTGTTTCATCAGAAATATTTTGCATTTCTTACAGAAGCTGGATGAAAGATTCACACACTGCAAATGCCTACAGCAATGTGATTAGAAACAACAGAAAAATGGTAGACAAAGCATCACTTACAGCATTAACAGCTGAAGCAAGAACAGGACTATCTTGAAAAGGACAGATAACATTGGTTAAACTCCACTGACAGCATCCAACTCGTGACATTTTGTTTGGCACAAAAGACTCCCTTTCCTATCACAGCATTTAGTCAAAGGTGCAAAACCTGCATTTTCAGAACTACATCTAGCTGTAGGTCACTAAGAAAATGTGGCTGAGTAAGAACAGCTAGCAGTGACCTTATAATACTGAGGATATCTAGAGTAAGACTGCTTTCCAAGAGGGATGTTCAGTTACATCAGTGCCTGAAGAAAAGTCATCTTCCCCTTCCATAACTTGGTCTTTCAAGAACAAGAGACACGTCTCAGGGTATGAGAATTAAACCTTGCAGAATAAAGAACCTAGGAAAGCCAGCTGACCTTGGCAAACCCAGATGTCCACAAAAATAAAGCAATTATTAGTTTCTTGATATAGAATGCCATTTTGACATTAATTCCCAATTCACTAAATGTCAGAATTCAGCCCAGCATCCTAATCAGTTGCTGCTTAAGTACTTTCACATTTTTTAATTCAGATTTTCCAGCAAGCTTTAGATTTTGAAGATGAAAAGTTGAAGAAGCAAGACATATTTGCAATCCTCTAATTCCAAAGGTCTTAGGACGACGCACAAGTCACCATCCAGCGGCATATTCAGAAACATATAGACAGCAAATGAACAGGAACTTTCCTTTCTGGCATCCTACAGCCACACAACCAGAGGGAAAGGAGAAAGAATATGCTGTTGTCTGAAAGACTCATCAAGCACATATGCAAGAGCATGTCAACACCACAGCTGTTCAACTAGGTCACTATACTGGAAAAGAATGGCCTTCAGAGCCCCAACAAGACACAGCTGTACAGGGGTCAGCAAACAAAAGCAGAAGTGAAGCTGGAATGAAAATTGCCACATAGATGCCAGAACCATTTTGCTCTTCAGAGCAAAACCTTAATTCAGCTTCAAGAGTTCAAATCAATAACCCCTAAATTCAATAATTTCTCAGTATGAAAACAGTTGGCGTTACATATTATCAAACATGTATCTTAAAGCAGTATCTGCTGGAAAAAAGGTGTTCAGATTTGAATCTCCAGTATAATTTTTGGAGGTTTTAATTCAGGAGATCAATTTAATTAACATACAACAAGTAGGTGTCTGGATGATAATACAAATGTAACCTTTTCCCAGGGCTACGTTAAACTTCTAAGCAGGACGTGACTGGGGATTAACAGCACCAGTAATATAAATCCTTATTGCTGCACACACAAAATTGGGCAATAGTCATATTTTACAAAAAAAATCAGTCTTATTTCCTCACTATTTCATGATTTTTTAATTGGTAGAGAATAAGTGAGACAGTCTGCGGACATGGCAAACCTAAAGGAAACTGTGACAAGTTGTATTTATCACTGTGTGAGCAGGGCACATGCAAATGAGTCATGTACTGAACTGAAACAGCCATATATATGAAAAACACAAACAAGCAATGTTTAAAGATCTGGAAACCTCCCTAGGAAGATGTAACTTCAAGAAAGACCTGAAGGTACTTTGAAGACTCAGCCTAATGCAGTCTTTAAGTGCTAAATACTACCAATGTACTAAACTTGGTCTGTGGACACATAAATGTCAAAATATGCTAGAAAACACACTTTGAGGCAAAATAGGTAACTCATAAAAAAGAACTGGTACTTTGCAGAGAAGAAAATACAGGAAACTTATCACCACTTAAGTATCTATTAACATAGGAAACAAAGCTCATCAAGTTAAAATCCAGCAGCTGGAAGATGAAGCCAGACAAACTCAAACTAGAGGGGCACAAAAAGTTTAACAGGGAGATTAACTAAACACCAGGATGTGCAATTTACAGAACTTACCAAGGGCCAAGTTGAAATCATTATCATTGGAACAACCTAACATACAGTTGGCAATTATACTAAGATTACCTCCTAATTTAAATCAGGCATCAGTACAAGAAGCTTGAGACAGATATGTTGATCCCAACAAATTCTGGCCTTACTGAATAAGAATTTATTTTCTTGGACTTTCATAGTAGCAGACTGTAAGAAATACTCTGCTTTTAATAAACCAAGCTCAGAACACTAAAAAAATTGGTGAATTCTCACCTACATCAACTTACTTAAAATACAACTATCAATACAGGTATCTTAAAATACATATATTGACTTACTTAAAATACAAATAATCTTTTGCAACTGCTATACATAACACACAGTCTGACAGAACACCACTTCATAGCATACAGCAACTGCTTTACATTTTCGGATGTCAACTTTATGAAGTCATGTTCTGCACATAGCAGGATTCCTCAGTCGCTCAACACATGAGCACTGCAGGGAACAACTCCCAGCACTTCGGAGCACGTTTAAAGTCTCCATCCCCTCCCTCGCATTTCCTAAATGGGAACTCACTCGCGACGACAGGAATGCCAATCCTGAAGCACGACTCCAGCAGGCAGAAGGGCACCTTTCCCCCTACCCCGCTTCTCTTGGCGTGGTTTGCCGCCGGGCCACGCGCGATGGCAGGGCGACGGCGCCACCTGCTGGTGCGGTTGCCCCGCCCGCGGTGTCGGGCCTCCGCGGCCGGCAACCAAGGTGAAAGGCGGGCCGGGCCGTCTCCTCGGGCTGCTGTGGTTGTGCTGCCCGAGGCAGCGATCGCCCCCGGCGGAGCCGGACGTCGCTCCAGTGAGGAGCTAGGGGCCGGCAGCATCAAAGAAGGCTCGAGGGTACAGGGGTGAGCTTCCGAGCCACGCACCGCAGGGATTCCGTAACAGTTTGGATCCCCTGTGAGGAGGAGTAGTGGGGTGGAATAAAATTCTGGGGGCTACAACGCGATAAACACTATGTGTGGTCTGGTGACTTAGATGTCAGGCATCTGATTAACACATTAGGATTTGATCTGGTGAAATACACAGGGAAAAAAAAAAAAAAAAGCTCTCTGAGCTCCAGCCAGCCATTCACCAGGAAGTACTTAGCAAGAGGCTATTAAAACTTAGGGTTGAGAGCTTTAAATCATCAGTGCTAATGACTGTAACATCCAATTTACAGAACTGACTCCAAGAACCTATCAAAACACTAAAAAAATTGTCAAATTATTCAAAGAGACATGCATGAAAGCCAAAAAATGTCTTGGGTGTATGTGTGTTCTAGTTAACAGATAAAACAGTTTCTTCTAACAGAAAATTATTATAGTGTTGATTAGAAACTTAGAAACATTTCGCCAACAGGCAGTACAATAATGGACCAAAAATAAAATTCCTCAAAGTATGTCTTGACTGCAAATTACCAAGCCACTGCCTCGGCACTGTGTCCCCCAGGGAAGTACTATCTTCCATAGCAGCCACTCCCTCAAGCAACTGGGAGCTGCACAGCCCTAGCCACCAGAGTGAAGGCGGTTTTGAAACTCTTGTAAGTTGGAGTGTATTTGGTGGAAAAAGCCTATGACAATACCAAAAACTCACCCATTCGGGTAACAAAATGGAAACAGACCATACAAGACAAACACAAACAGGAAGGCAATTAAAAGCTGAAGTAACAGTGACAAAGAGGTTGCTCAAGGTCTATTCCATTAAACTGGCTGATTCCTTAAACTGGCTCTAATTGAAAGGAGTTTTATCTAGACTTACCAGATGAGCAGTATCACACCACAAGCCCTGGTTGCTGTTTTGGAAATTAAGCACTGCTGTGTTACACCTGACAGGGCACAGTTAGAGGCTTCTGTGAAAGTGAGTCTCATAAAGGAGGAGAATGGGCTTAGTACCTCAGAAACAGCACAGGAATCTGTTCAGATTAGCAACTGAAGAATACATTTATACTTTTGGAACTTGTAAAAACCCACGAAGGAACTGTCACTTACTCTGTGTGGCCCTGAAAGACATTCACAGAATGGATAGAAGGATCTCTGAAATCCCACAGACGGAAGGTTGTATCGCGTGATGATGTCACCACAAGACGTTGGGTGGGATGTGTACAACAATGTGTTAGCTCTTGGTCGTGCCCTACAATCACAGATGAGAACATGTAAGGTAATGAAAATAAGAATTTTCATTTCCATGTACACTTAGAATGAAATGCTAATGATTTTTTCTTTTATCCCCCCCCCCCCCAACAGAAAGGAATAATAATACTAATCATCATTCTGAACTTTCATGTTACTTCCACTGTAAAAGTTTAGAACTGCATTTAAAAGCAAAAGGTGGGGGGGGGACGGGGGGGACGACACCACAACAGTATTTACATTATTATTAAGTAGCAATGATAGGTCATTGCTACTTAATACACCAGGTCTCTATAGTTTGGAGGAGATTGAGGGGTGACCTTATTAGTGTATATAAATATATAAAGGGGGAGTGTCACGAGGATGGAGCCAGGCTCTTCTCAGTGGCAAACAATGATAGGACAAGGGGAAATGGGTACAAACTGGAACACAAGAGGTTCCACTTAAACTTGAGAAGAAACTTCTTCTCAGTGAGGGTGACGGAACACTGGAACAGGCTGCCCAGGGAGGTTGTGGAGTCTCCTTCTCTGGAGACATTCAAAACCCGTCTGGACACGTTCCTGTGTAACCTTATCTAGGTGTTCCTGCTCCAGCAGGGGGATTGGACTAGATGATCTTTTGAGGTCCCTTCCAATCTCTAACATACTGTGATACTGTGAAAAGCATTTTGCAAGAACTAAAATCTGGCTACATTTAGTTTAAAACTACCTTCGTAAGTTATATCACAAGTTTAAAGGAACACAGTTTCATGCTTAGAGCATTTACAAGTTCAGAATTTTAGAAACCATTACAACACATCTGAAAGGGGCCTACAAGGATGCTGGAGAGGGGCTCTTCATCAGGGACTTTAGCTATAGGACAAGGGGAAATGGGTTTAAACTTAAACAGGGCAAGTTCAGGATAACTACAATGAAGTTCTTTACTGTGAGGGTAGTGAGACACTGGAACAGGCTGCCCAAAGAAGCTCCATCCCTGGCAGTGTTAAGGCCAGGTTGGACAGAACCTTGGGTGACATGGTCTAGTGTGAGGTATTCCTGCCCACAGAAGGGGTTTGGAACAAGATGATCTTAAGGTCCTTTCCAAATCTAACCATTTCCAGATAAACAACTTTTCCCAATGTTTTGGTATCTACAAATAATCCCACATATAAAAATGAACCACCAATCTATCTTTTTGTAAGGGAACAAATACCTGTAAGGGAATGGACAAGCTCAGAAGTCTCTACATCATACAAATTTGCTGTCCTATCCCACGATGCTGTCACAGCTTGCTTCCCTCCAACGAGCCAATCAGCTGCTATGACCACTCCTTGATGGCTTTTCAGTGAAGTTAATGGGGCTCTGACAGTGGGACAATCGCTAGAAACATCTCCATCTCCATCAGGTTCATCTTTATCTGAGAACTCAACTTCATCCTCTCCAGACATTTGCTATAAAATGCAAGAGGAAAAAAAAAAAATAAATTTAGAATAAAAGGGAAGGAATGTCTCTAAGTTACAGTTTACAGTGTAAATGCTTCCCCATCCCCTTAATGCCAATATGGGTAACTTAATTCTATAGAATCTAGCCTATAGAGGCACTCACTTTCAAAAACTTAGTTGGAGGAACAAGTGAGTTAAACACAGTTTCTGAACTGTTTAGCTCTGAGTATCTATCCCCTTTATTCTCTGGTAAGTTCCTTACTCTTTATTATCTGGTAAGTCCTTACTCTATCACACTCAAGTTTCACTGCAGCACATTTATCAAGGACTTTTTTTCTTCTCAATATTTAAGGGTAAGAAGCATTTAATAGGGCACTGACTATTTTAGTCTCTGGGAAGACAATAATTTACAGCCGTATTTTTATCCATTAGGATCAAAATCATGACATCAACATTTGTCTGCTTGTCAATACAGAGTCATCACGCAGTGCTGATGTAAACTGAATGAAAATAAATTCTTTTGCCAACCATGAAGCATTACTCTCTGAACACTATTTTGCCTGTGCAAGACAAATACACTTTTCTTTCACCATATCTGGATGTAAAAAAGGTAACACTGGTACTGCTCTTTCAAAGTAGAAATACCAAATCAAATAAACTGAAGCAAACATTTTGCATTCAGAAATCTACCTCGTATTACCCAGCCATCTCTTGCCCCTGCTTGGCTTGCTGTGAAGCTCCTGCTATAAACAGTATTTGTCTTCACAATTTAGTGAGGGTGCTTTTAAGTCAAAAAAGCATTTGATAGTCTACGAAATAGAAGTACTGACTGAATAAAAAGCCTGGGGACGACAATATCAGACAGTGTGATGAGTGCTGGCAAAAGTCAATTAGAAATCAGTAAATTAAATAAATGTCAAAATGACATGTCTTCACCATCAGTTTTCAATTCAAAGTAACTATAGCTAATACAAGTGCCTCAGTGAGTTAAGCTACAAGAATCTATCTTAAGAATTTAATTATTATTTATGATTTGAATTATTACCAAAAAATGTTAACATGACAGTTCATGTACTTACACATCTACTATCTTGAACAAAAATTACTTGTAGCTGTATATCCTATTCTGCACCACAGATCTTTGAAAACATGAAGTGAGCCTGTTTTTAAAAGAAAGGCTGAAATCTATTAAACCTTAAAATCCCGGTATTTGCAATCCTGAAATCATGTAATTTTTAATTATGTACAAATCTAACATTCAGCCTTATCATAAAACCTGTAGCTGATGAAATTGCTGTGCAATTAGTACAGTTGCAGCAACTTGATTGCTTACATTGCAGTCTGCAGTTGGCTGAGGTGTAGGCAACTGTATTAAGTATCTCCAGATGTGAGCTGTCTGGTCTCCAGATGCTGCACAGGGGGTAGAGAGGTTCAAGTAAAAAAACAGAGAATAAATAAGAGCATTTCCTTCAGCCAGTTCCTCACCCAGTACACTACGAACCCACTCATCCCACAGCTAACAACTTGTTCAGAAGGATGCTGCGAGGAACAGAATCAAAAGCCTTACTGAAGTCCAGAAAAACTACATCCACCATCTTCCCTTCATCCACCTGGTGGATAACCCTGTCATAGAAGGACACCAAATTACTTAAAGAGGACTTTTTCCTTTTGTGAACCCATGCTGACTGTACCTGATGACTGCATTATTCATTAAATGCCTTTCAACAGTACCCAGTGTAATCTTCTTCATAATTTTTCCAGGAACTCACGTTGGACTAACAGCTCTGTAGTCCCCTGTGTCCTCCCTCATATCCTTCTAGTAAACTGTAATACCACTGGCTGGCTTCCAGTCAGCAGGAGCCTCCCCAGACTCCTAAGACCTTTGGTAGAGGATCAAGAGGGGTCCTGCTGTAACATCCACTAGCGCCTTCAGAACTCTGGGATGAATCCCATCAGGTCTCATGGATTTGTAAACATTCAGCTGACATATGATTCTAAGTGTCTGTTTTGGAGTAGGTAAGCACAAAATACGATACAGCAACCACAGATGGAAAGATCTAGCTCTGATTTTTTATGTCTTGAAACATAAAAACAATTCAGTTGGCAAGGACACTGACAAAACAGTAGGAAGAGGGGCTACAACCCAAAAGATGCTAGTGAATTACATGTATATTTCCATCATGATTAACGTACTTAGCATATGAAAAAACTTCACATACCTGTAAGAGCCACTTGCTCAGTTGGATGAAACTTTATGGAATTTACTGTGGGGAAAAAAATAAAATTAAGTAAGTATACTAAAACAATTATTTTGTAATGTTTCAGCATCAAAAGGGTTGAAAAAAAATCCAGAAGTCTCTGATTTTAAGTAATTTTTTGTAGTATAGCAAAGTCTTAGGTGAGATAAAGCACAATGGTATTCTGAGTACATAAACCTAAGTAGTATCAAAGAGAGAAGCTACAGTTGATTATACAATACATACTTCCTAGCAAGTTATTTCCTGAAACCTATTACAGGCATTGCATATTATAGAGGATAAATAAGCCACACTCAAATAATCTTGTGTAAGCTGACAGAAAATAATGCTTTGGACTTCCATAAAGAGAACTTTATCCGTAAGTATTTCTAACATACCAAAAACTTGCTTATTATGACCATCAACTTTGATTATTACTTAAGATTGCAAGAACAAATGCCTAAAAACCTAATGCAAATAACACTAATCAGATTTCAGTCCTGCAACCACATGTAATCAAAACATTGTTCTAAAACAGTCCTGCAAGAATTCTACCACCCTATTCATTTTTTATTTCAGTGTATAAGATTTAATTACTTTTCATTAAGCACGAAACCCCAAGTTTCTCTTCAGCAGTTCTTCAAGAAAGAACTTGGAAATCATTTCCATCCATCATGCAAGTAAAAAATGCTGATGCCGTCAGTAGAGCATGGTGTAATGACTCTAAAGAGATATCCAAACTGTTCACACTGAACTAACTCAACTGTGCATCAACTGCTGGCACCCAACACCTTTGATCCATTTCTAATCAACTGTCAAACCTAAACAAGTTTTACTAAATGAAAAAATACATTACTTTAAATATAATTTATAGAAATGTATATTTTTAAATAAATTATAAGGTATGGAGAATTTATATAAATTTATACATAATAACTTAGTTTACACACAACTGTTTAAATACAGGTTAGAGCTTTTATTATTTTCATGGTTAGCCAAATAGCAATTACAAACTATCAAACTATCAGCATCAAAATCCAAGTGATTGGAGTTTTTTAAACATGACTTTATGGAGGATAAAGGCATCCCCTCCAATCAGCAAACAACCTGAGGTATCTGAACAAACTGAAGTGTTACCTGTTATTTCTATGCATCTATCTGTTAGTATCTTTGTGTTGTACGAACTAGAAGGCATATAGCAGGAAAAAGTAGAACTCATGTAGCAGAAAAGTAGAAGTCATGGTTGAAGTAGCTGACTGCACTCTGGAGAGCTTAATTCTATTTGTATTTTTGCCACAGAGTTCATGTGATGTGCTAGCTGAGTTACTTAACCAAACATACCACTGGGGGCATTATGGATCACCTAGTGACCACTCAACTCAAATGATCACCCATGATGCTCAAACTTCACTGGTGGTGTATAAAATCCTATACTGTAACTCCTTATGAAATAGAAGGGGGCTAATGAGGTGCTTGTCAAATTTGACATCAAAATTGAAGATCAAAAACTCTCACTGCAGTGCACCTCTCCACCCAAGGAGGGGTTTAAAAACACTGCTTCCGTAATATTCATACCAGTACAAACAAATGCCATATCAGTTAACTGCCTTCAAAACAAGATTTTAGTATTACGCAACAAATTATATATGGGATCATGTATTAAACAAAGAAGTGCAAAGTTCACCCAACACTGTATTTTGTATACCAAAAATAACACAGACCCTACAAATCAGTTAATTTCTGATAAGCTTCTCTTGCTCTGCATATGCATGAGATCTCAATGAGTTCTGACATTTAACTTCTGAGTGTCATAACTATGCCTGTGAACTTCTTAACATGGACCTGTTTATCCATTTAAGCATTTACAGAACTATCTTAATGTGCCTCTCCAAGAATCACATTACAAAACATTCTCTGTATGAAGATTAGTGGAACTTCACAACTGACTTGTTAATGGTGTTGGCAAACCTGCAAGTGAAACCACTATAAACATTTTTGTAGCTGTCTAAAACACATTTTCCCCTCCCACACTCCATTTCTAGTTTTCACAACATGCCCTCATCTTACCTGATCCAACATGCCCTACATACTTGACAAGGCACTTCCCTGTTTCTATGCTCCACAGCAAAGCAGTGTGATCTAGAAAGATTAAAAAGCAGCTGTAAATATTGTTACAAATGAATCAGTTAAAAGTGAAAAACGTACAACAAAATTATCTTCAAATGCAGAGCATAACATATGAAATAGGTTTCAAACATAGGACAGACCAAATCCTCTTTATTACATCCTTATATATGAAATATACAAGCTTCCTATCGTTATGACTTAATACACAATTACCCCTAAAAAGTAAAGGTGCTGTCCCAGTTGGATTAATTCGCAGTAAGTATTCACAGGCAAATTCTACTTTTGATATATTTGCTAACTTGGTTACATACTTATGTATGTTTCAACTGTGGATCACGAGATTCAGAAAACACAGAAATCATTCAGTGATAAAGTCAGACAGCCATTACAAAAAGAGTTCTACACACAAACTATTTACTTTCTGCGTAGAAGTCACAGAATCATAGAATAGTTAGGGTTGATACTGTCACTGCAGAGCACAATTAAAACTTACTTAAAAAGGAATTCACTCCAAATTTCACTCCTTTATCCAAAAACAATTAATTAATAAATATTTGTAACTGGGAAGAACCTTAACGTTGAATTGGAAAATTATTGTTTCCAAGTTAAAACTGGATGTCCCACACAAAATGTGGACACATGAAAATTATTAACAGCTCAGTTTATGAAGCAGAGGTTTTGGGTCCACAATATTCATGTCCAGTAAGTGTTCAGATTCTGTTCCAGTTTCAAAAGACTGTCACTTCAAACTGACCAATTCTAACTGGTTATAGTTTATTTCCCTAGTAATTTTATAAAACCACACAAAGCCTCTAGAAAGACTTTTGGATCCTGACAGATCTAGCGAATTATTCATTAGTACCTGTACCCTCCCAAGTGGGAAGGAAGGAAGGAATGTAATGAAGTTAGTAAGAACTGAAAATTAAGATTTTTAGCTGCCCCTGCATCCTTAGGCAAAAGCCAGATGAATATAATAATACAAAAACATGAAAAGTACAACTAAGTCTACAGCATATGTAAAACAAAGGCTAAACAATACTACTATGACAGTAAGTCTGTTCAGTTCCCCAATCCACCCACTGCACCATCCAACAGGCTGCACCTGACCTTCAGGGAAGTAACTGGCACATACTTTAGAAAGATTAACAAGGACGCCTGAACCTTCTAAAAGTTAAATGCACTTCAAGGAAACCGCACTTTTACAATTTTTCAGCTACTTAATTTCTTTAAATTGACTCTTTCTGTGTGGAGTTTCAGTATTCAAGAATGCTTCTGATCTATATTTGATACAGCTTAGGGACTAAACCAGAATTTTCTAAAGATTCAAGTAACATGAAACTTTACCAGCAGATGCAGTTCCCAACACCACTGGTTGAGTTTTCGCAACACTGACATCCCAAATACCATCCCTGTGGCCAATATATTCCTTTACCAGTTGACAGATTGCCCTTGATGTTGTAGTTTTAAAACTGGATACAATCTGAAATAGCAGAAAGACCAACATATTTTTCTACATTGACTCAAGATTAAGTCATTATCCCAGAAACACAAAAAGATACTCTTTTTCATAATTCTTCAGTGTCCTGACAGTTCACTATAGTCAAAAATTTGACATTTGATGGTAGGAAAGTGAGCTTGGATGCAAACATACCTGTTCATTTTTAATTTTTTTATCTTTCTTTTATTCATAACATCCCCCTTTGTTTACAGAATGCAAGATAAAATATTCCGTACTACAATATCACCCTAGAGTAATAACTTACACAAATGCAGTGTGCACTTCCCATTCAATCTAGGTAAATAATAATTTTAAAAAGGAAAAATTGAAAAAAAATTTTAAAAATTTTAAAACCTCCACTAAAACACAAAACCTCTCAAAACCTTCCTTGCTCATTCCCAAGCCAGTACCTCTGATAACTTAAGAGATGGACCACATTATCTAGTGTATGTCTTTGTAAAAATGTACTTATTACATAATTCCAGTAAAATCCTGAAACATTCCACTTAAAAACACTTTTTTCCTTCAAAACTGCATAAAATTAATCAAATCAAACATTAACCTGAGAGCATCAGATGACAGTTTATTTCTGTAATACAGTTTGGTTTTTTTTCTTAAAGATATGTCAAACTCATCTAAACATTTGATAAGCACATTCCCTCATAGCCAGTGCTATTAGCAGAGAACAGAGAAGACTCATTAAATCCAAATTTGTATATGCGTAAGTAATACCACATGAAAAGAAAAAAAAGTCTAGCTAAACCAGTAAAACTACAAGGCACTATACTATAGGAAGACTGAAAACACTCAGTAGCTACAGAAAGAAACCAATTTGCAGAAATTCTACATTTTCAGATAAAGGGAAGTGCAATATTAAAACAAACAGACAAACAAACAAATAACTTGTCTTGCTGGAATGCTTCCAGAGACAACAAATAAAAAAAGGTGGAAGATAACTTCCAAAAGCAAAACCACTTTAGAACTATGCTATTTCTAGCCCACAAGTCTTGAAGCTCATAACTGTTCTTTGAGAAAAACTAGCTGCAAAGCTTTATTAAAACCAAAACAAAGAGACAAGTTCAATTTATCAGTGTTGTCCTCTGCATGCAATTATAGGTAGGTATCTATCTGACCAGTTAAGTCAAAACCTTTTAATGCTTCAACAGAAATCACATTAAGACTTATCTAACCTAAAGCTTAGTAAAAATTAGAAAATTAATTAAGTCTATATTTCAGATACCATAAACTAAGGTTAAAATCCCATTTGTTTTTGGTATCAAAAGAGAAGGTCTTAAGCATACCATTAAAGCAAATTACTTCCAAAAAGGTTTTTAAGAGTTCAAGAATATCTGCATGAGCATTCCAACTCCTAGGCGTGTCAACTTTCCAGTGTTGAAATGATAATGCCCTATCTGAATTCCAAATTAACAGCTAATATGCATTTGGGTTGCACAGCAGCAGCAGGACCAATCATTAAGGATGCATTGAAAAGAAAACAGGTTAATGGTAAAGGTTGTTAGTTCAGCAATACTGCAGAGTTTCAGAGGCTTCGAGTATAATCCTACAGATGCAACTTGCACATTGAGCACAGTCCTTAATGGAGTCATGTATGAAAAATGGAACAGCAGAATTATGTAAACAGTTAAGGACTTAATATAGCGCTCAGCTCAAATTCCAAAGTGGAAGCTGTTCAGCTTTCAATCCCACACTTGAACTATGCTTGTGTTCTGTCTTTCTAATGCTGAGTCAAACTCTCATGCAAAAGTTTTTTAGGAGAAACTATCTTGTACTCATCAACAAGCACAAGTTTTCTAAAACTGGTGGACAATGGCTTCACTGATCATTTAATGGCAAGGCTGTAAAACTCCTTTTGGAGTACTTGCTTTCTTTTTTGCTGTTCCTCACTTCACATACCAGTAACTGGATAAACCAGAGAGCACGCAGATTACTTCTCAATTCCTTAACCATACATTAACAATTTTCCATGACAGAAAAGGAAATACTTCAATAACATGCAACTTGACAAAATAGGCCTCTGTACTGCAGATGCAGATTCCTGCATCTATAAACAACTACAGTTAAGTTACAGAATCTTTTCCATTAATGTACACAAAACCTTATTTTTAGAGTACCAAGCACTTAATCTACTCTGTCTCTTCAGGGTCTGATCACTGATCAATAAACCCTGCTGTTAAAAGCATCATTTTCCAAGATGATTTTTGCCAACTTAATATTCAGACTCCTAATTTAGCTAAGGGATGAAAAGTATCCAGGTGTGGGATTTTTCTATGAAGGATATGAATTAAGCATATTTACCACAGCATTTTCTCCAAGAAAAAGAACAGATTGTTTTAGTCTCATCATGTTTTACCAATATTACAGCAGTCAAGTATCACCTTTTCTCATTAGAACAAGCAAATATTGAAAGCTCTTTTCAGAACAAACCTAAACTATACGTTGGCTATCAGAAAAATGCAAGTATGCGCAATGACACAATACAATTGGTTTGTAAAACATAACTCTCTTCTCATTTACCATAGGGAAAAAGGACAAAGTTTTAAAAAGTGACTTCTGACAAGTTTTAAATTAGACATAGAGTAACAGTATATAAGGACAGGCTGAAAAGAGAAGTTGCAATCCACTACCCCACTGAGTTTGGAATACAACCCATTTTTGATGAACAGCACTGTTCACTCAATGCTCATAAAAAATATAGACACAAGAATTTCAAAGCTGTTGAACTCTTAAAACTCCTCAAATGTCATTTTCCCAGATACAGTATCATGGAACTCTAACTGCATCCAGTCAGGATACTGATAGAAACTTCGTTTGTTCAAAACTTACAGACTTTTCTGACTTTTGGATATAATCTCTTTGTAGGTCAAGAGACAAAACGTTGCAGCTTTAACACGTCTAATTCATAACTACATAGCAGGTGTACTAATATTTTATGTCCCTACTAATATCATGTTGTCCCTGCTCAAGTGGCCTCATTAAAGAAGCTTTAAGTCATAAACTCTTAAGCAAGAGATGTACCTCTATGAAACAAATTGGCAAGAATAAAAAAAAGTTTGAAAAACGATAAAACAAAAAGGAGACCAAACAAAACACAGTAACTGAAATCTATTTCACCATACTAATCTTTACTCTTAAACTTTCAGACTACTTAACAGATAGTCTTTCCGAGACACCTGCAGTCACTCCATAACCACACATTAGCCTGTAATACCAGTCACCACAGAGCTTCCTATACATGCCAAATCCCATTATGGTTTCCTCACATTTCATTTACCCTTATTAATGTATCACAAAATGAGCCTGAAGTAGGGTAAAAAGAGTGGCAGGTTAACGCTCTTTGAAAACTGAAAAAGGGGAAAGAAAAAGGAAAAACATATCAGACAAATGCAGATGGGCAAAATGAAAAACATCAGAATGGTTTACTGTGCTAAGAGACGAAACAAAAAAAAGAAAACAACAACAACAAAAAAAACAAGATAACTAGCTAACTTGCAAGACTTGCAATGTAAAAGAACAAACCGTTTTAGACTTACAGCTAAAAATTAATTAAAAACCCAAACACAACAGCCCACAACCTGTAACACTACATATACAGATGCCTACTTAAATCCTCATTTCAACTGCAATACCCAAATGCTTATTCAGAAATTTGCTCCCTACTAAGTTATTTCCCTCTTGAAACTGAACTTTTTAACTCTCTTTCCAAAAAAATGTAATCCCACATACACACATGAGCACACCCTCTCCCCTCCAACACTCATTCTGAAAAACAGGTGAGCAATTAGTGTAAAATGTCATATGGTGTGGTTGAAGTAATGGGTAATTGATGAATCCAAGATAAACACACTGTTCCTCAAGAGGCAGATTTGCTTCAAGAACAGCACTGCTCAGCTAAAAGAAACTACAATTTACAACTTAAAGACAGCCATGTTAGTCTCATGAGTACACATTGATGAGTAGAGATTTAATTTGTCTCATACCTTGCTAGTAGATGCCTTGTAAGTTGTCTTTAACTTCTGAGAAAGCTGACTGGTACTATGACTGGCTGTTGAGACAAATAAATTCAAAGGAAGGTATTTCAAACACAGCATTAGCTTTTCTGTGTAAGTAAATGGTATTAATTCCCTTCAGTAAAATTCAAAGTTTTGGCCAAATTACAAATAAAATTAGTTAAAAAATACTGGCTTACGATTTTTTGTGGTTCTCTTACCTTTTGCTTTCAGTTGTCCTTTGCTCAGTTCAGCTCCATCAATTGTCTGTCCTTCGGCTGCTAGACGTTCATTCAGTGTATCAATCTCTCTACGTACTAACAAAACCGAAAATTCATATTAATCCCCAAAATTGAGTGTTACTAGCAACACCATTAACACACTATTTGATAACTGTTATGGTTAGTAAGTAATCTAATTTTATGCTAAGGACAACAAAAAAGATAACTGTGATTTTATAAAAGCAAGTCTCACCAAGACATAAACCAAGACTCATGCCTAATTTTCCAGACATCAACCTTGACCCAGATTCCAAGGAAATATTGGCAGTTTTTAATTACTAATAAATGTGGCTAAGGATTAACAAAATTGCTTCTGTGAAATACATGGCACATCTGTACTGAATTAAATCTAACACAAGAGAGAAAACTTGCAACATCATAAATATTTTAGCCACAGAATTAGTATGTCATTAACAAAGATTTTATTAATCACAAAACAGCTTTCTCTCCTGAATGCCTATCTACTATTAGGAGTTTCAGTAAGACAACATAATGCAGCAAATGTGTATTTTAAATACTTTGAAGTACACTAAAAACATGTAGAATGACAAACACATTTTACATTCACCTGTTTTAGAAACACTAAATAGGATCAAAATATTTTCATGGCACATCAGACAAAACATGTATTCGTAACAAGAAAACGCTTTTATATCAATTATTTCTAACTCTCACCAGTGCCGTTTTAACACAAGACAGAGTGATGGTATAGCTAAAACAAATCAAGTACCCATAAAAGATTGCCAGTGGCTGGGCTGGTTTAAGGTTGCTCAACCTCATTTTATAAATAACAGTTTTGGTGTCATAGTTTCTTCTCAAAATCTGGGCTGATACTCTTTCAAGTGTTTTCCTCAGGTGAATTCTTATTGAGAGGCTTTAACCAAGCAGTTCTTGAGGACAAGTCTAGGCCTGCCTTTCCACAAATTCTTAGGACTTTCTTAAAGAAGTTATTCACTCCCAGGCTTTGAAATGTGGGAGAATGTGACACATCAGGAGTATGACTCCTACCATTTCAGAGAAATTCACTGAAGTCTCAGCTCTGCACACCAGAAAAGTCAGTTTACACTTCCATATCACATTGAAATGCTTGAAATGAGTAAAGCAAGATTCTCTTTGCTGTTCCCGCAGTCACATAAACCTAAACTTTTATAAAACACAAACAATATGAGAAGCAAACAAAGAGACAGGCTTGTAAGTAACAGATGACTGAAACGAACAAGCCTGGCAGATACATGAGTTGCCAGAAAAGATTAGGGCTGAAGCCTGGAAGGGGTAAGAAAAGGAAGGAACCAGAATCCGTTGATATAAAGGAAAGGGAGTATAGGAAAAGCCAGTGAGGAAAAACCTGAGATTCTCTCTGTACAGTACCTACAACACTAGTGTAGGAATTAGACCAAGAACAAAAAATAACAGACTGAGAATCAGAAGAGAAAAATTTACAGACTGTCAGGGGGGTGGGAAAGAAATCACAAAGGCCAGGAGTGAACTAGAACTGAGAGGTGAAAGAAGATGAAGAAACAAATGGGATAGGAAGAAAATAATCATACAATGGAAGGTGCAGACGAATTCACCACTTGTTTTCTGACAAACATTTTTGAAGGTTGGAGAGAGAGGCTTGCTACCAGCCAACTTCCCAGCAGGAGACTGAGAACTCAGCTGGGCAAATTGTCACTAAAAAAATAGGTAGTGACAATGTAGCCTTTAACCAACGCAATCTCAGGTTTTAAGAGAATAAAAAAACAGCACATTTTCAAAAAGACTGCAAGAGCATTTTTTTAATATGAGTGTTTGGTTTAACTGTGGGAACAGATTAGGTGTGGAAAAGAAACTGACTTGGAGCCAAATCAGGCAGTTTCCACAATGCAGAAGTCAAGCCACGCAACACAGCTTCCAAAATCCAGCAAGGACAACTGAGCAGAGGCTTTACCATATGACTGCCTGTGTTACTTACTTTGGATCCTCTGACATCACCTTGGATCACATTACCATACGACTGCACTGTCATTAAACAAAATATTTTTTGCAGGTAATACCTGGAATGTTTATCTGTGTGCTCCACTTCAACATTCATGATACTGTTGAGGTGCTGGTTATGAAATGTACTAAGAAGAATGATCCAAACCCACCACATTTTACACTTTTTTAAGTAAGACATTTTCCAATTCTATTTAATAATCTTCCATCATTAAAATTAAGCTTGTAAACACACAACAAAGCTACAGCCTTCAATGGCTGTACAGAGCTGGCAGATTAACATGGTATATGCCAGAGCCTATAATGACAAGGAGACAGCCACTTTCTTTGCCTAAGAGTCAAGGAGGACGACACACATTAGTTCTCACTTCTCCTATCAAATAGCTAAGAAAGTGAGGTTTCTGAAAAAATACAGACTCCATGTTTGGCTACAAGTTCAAAACAGTTCTCAAGCTCCTCACAGAAAGTCCGCACTAATTACACTACAGTATCCAAGGTAAGTATCTCAGCATTACTATATGCTAAATTCAAACAATTCATAAGTTGCTGGGAAAAAAAAAAAAAATACTCACATTCCAAATTTTCAATATACAGGTTTTCAAATTCCCGCTCTATTTGTCCAAAAAGTTCAAGGAGTGTATTCCGGATGGAAGATGGTAGTTTTGAATCCTAGGACGCAAAATACTGGGGTTTATATTTTTTTATTACATGTATTTTATGTATTTACCCTTCAGTCTTAAACTGGTTTTAACAGTTCTCTCCATCTCCCACCAAGGAGGGAAATTAAAACTACTACTAGTACAGAATATGAAACAAAAAGCTCTGTGCATTTGACATACTCTCTTTAACTGGACAGAATTCAAATCTCCTGTAGGGTTCTTTAACTACTGAAAAACTATAAAAGCAAGATACATGTACAACATAATAAAAAAAAAAGTGAAAAAAATTACAATATAATGTCAAGGTGCTTACAGTTCAACAGAAAATAATACCTTTGGCTGACAAAGTAATGCAGAAGTTGAATATGCATTAGGTTAGGAAGTTGTCATCACAATGCACCTTACTACCAAAGCTTAGGACAAACTAACTTTTTAAGAGTATTTTTTACTTCTGCCTACTTTTGCCACTATCTGTAACTGTAAAGAAAACTGCAGTTTCCAATCCTTCCCTCTCTGATATTACTGAAGCAGCTCTTCCTCACAAAGTATTTTAAAGCAAATTCAGAGAGGAGGGCATTTTTTTTTCCTTCAGCATAGTCAACATAGCAATTCAAAGGCATAAAACCAAGTATGTAATAAAGCCACTAACACAGGATTTATATGATCTGACTCAATGCACAGCCTGACCACAAGTTTCTGTTGGCATATTAATTAAATTTTATTCATCTGCCTATAAAACAGAGATCACCACCATATTTTCCCTGAACAAATGCATGTCATATGCAAAACAAGTAACTGCTGATTTCTACTGGGGGTCAAGGTTCTCACTGTATCAATGATTTTGTTATCACTGTTAAACAGATAGTTAATAAAGCAGAAAACAGCTGCCTGCAATATACTGAGTACTAACAAACATTTAAATTTAAAATTTAAAGCACAGTATGCTACTAAAAAAAAAAGCAAATTAGAAAGGAGAAAATAGTCTAATAACTGTAATTAATCAACTACAAGTATGGACCAAAGAATGAACTGTCATTGCTCACCACATAAATTCTCCTAAATCTGTTCTATTATTCAGTTGCTGGTGGATCACAGTATGTAAATTGGTTTACTGTACTGTACTGTATTCCAAACCTGAGAAATCGCTATGCAAGGAAATAAGTTACCCAGTTTCAAAGTGAATTTAATATGGTAGCATGTATACGATATTACCAATATATCAATATTCATATGTCAGATATAGAGGGAACATGCCTATCAGCAACATATACTTTCTTTAAAGCAAAAGTTTGTAATTTTAAAGTCTTGAAATCATCATCTATGAGCAAAAAAAGAAAATTGAGTCAGCTTCTGCCACAGAACAAAACACTAGTCCAGGTTTAATAATGTTTCAGAAGAAACATTATTAGAATGGAAGTACAAATGTTCGCACAGTACAGCACCCAAATTCGAGTGAACTTCATTATCCAATCAGCAGGTTTAGTGCCGATTACAGCTTGTTTTGTTCTTAAGTGTTTCAGCAAACCCAAATCAAAGGAAATTGGTTTGGTTCCTCTAAACTGACTGAACCAGGAGGAAGTGTGTGCATATTGTCCATCAGAGGGCAGCATGCACCTTCAATCAAATCAGCCTCTAAGCAACCAGAATTTAATCTCACATTTTGGTTCATAGCGTCGACATGGTTGTCTTCAGAAACAATTAGAAAAGCTTATCGTGATCCCGATTTTATGAATTATTTCTGAACATCAATTTTGAAGAGCAGAGCAAGAGAAACCACTAACAGCCATGACAGACAGCATGTCTGCTTTGTTCGAAATTCAGTTTCGCATCAGTTTCACAGCTACTTTTAAGCTGTGGCACTGTGCTGGAAATAGTGGTACTATGCTCCTTATGCACCCCCAGGATATTCCTTTTTGCACAGTTATCTACTTTTCCCTTGAGACAGTACTTTAGTTCATGAATTTACAGTCAGCTAGAATGTGATACAGATCCTGATTAAAACCAACATGAACCAAAGAGATTAAACAAGTATACAAAAAAAAAAAAAAAAAAGCACTGGTTAGAAGAACTCTTTCCAATTGACTTACCCAATAATTCCATAAAGAAAGGTTATGAAAGAAACTAAGTTATCCTACAACTTTCAAAACAGAAAAGGAGATGTTGGAAAGGTTTTCAGTCTACTTCTCAGAGCCTCAAAGCATAAGCAAATCTGAACCTGTCCTAAAGTAACCAGCATAGTGAAACACATCCACTTCCTTTACTCTCTTTAGAGTTGGCATTAGTTAAATTAGCTTATTAAAATATCATGTAATAATGTTATCTGTGTATCTGCAAAAGTACTTCTCTAGATGTCATGTGTTTTACAGCTCCACTGTGAAAGGGCATTAATACTCTGTACTTGTTAGAATCTGCCACTGGCAAGGTTAAAGGTCAGCAAAATTAAACATGATGATACATAAAACACTTTAAACATTTACATACTACAATATAAGACACTTGGAGTTTTATAAGAAATACTAAAACAGCATAAAATTTTGGTTTACTACAAGTAAGAGCATGCCTTAACCTCTCAGCTGCCATTTCACTCCTTTCCTGAAGCAAGGCTGTAACTAACAGCCCAAATGCACAAAGTTTCCTAGCTGAGTACTTATGTTCTCCAGCTTCTAGATCACTACAAACAACAACCTGGGCTCTGTTAGTTCCCAGAAAACTAAAACTACTAATCTACTGAACAACAGATTAAATTTAAAAAAAAGATTAAAAATAAGTCACAACACTGAGAAAACACAAGGTTTTCCCTTCAGAGCATCTGCAAAGTCTAGAAAGTGGGGTTCCTCCTAGCCAAACACTTGGTACTTCAAACTACCTCTGACAAAAATCAAGTTTTGCATCACTTTTGCCAGGCCTGCATTAACATTGTGTAGCTAATCACTGTGTAGTTAATTTAACAATAGTTTTCACATTGATTTTTACTTATCTCTGGCAGCACTATTTCAAACACTTCTTACAGGAGCCTTACCTACAGTTAAGCTGAATACTGTTAGGTGAAACACTCCAAGTACCTCCAGAATGCATCCACTACAGACTGAAATGATTAAGAAAACTACCAAAGTTTGTGGTTGCTGTTTTTTCCCTTAATTTTAACAATGAAGATCACACCTTTATTTGAGTCAAATTTAAAAAAACCCACACCCCCACAAAACACACACACACACACACACACACAACCCCCCCAAACATTTAAGGTTGCCTCTGTCACATGGGCAGTATTTGTTTTTTTCATGGAAAGGAATGCAGAACAGTGCTCCCAGTAATACCTTCCCTATCAGAGGCGTAATAACAAATGTTTTGGTTTATTCATATTCTTGGATTACTACTATTCTAAATTCAAGCTTAAAAGATCAAGAATCAATCTCAACTTTAAGGTAGCAGAGGAGAGATGCATAGCAAAATAAATGGGCTGTTTCTTTGCATTTCTTCATTATTTTATCATTCATGTAATACACAAAGGCTGATAAAAAGCTCCACAGGTCTATACAACTCGAAACACTGCCAATGTCCACATCAATAGCCTCCAGAGACAGTCAGCACTTACAAGCAAGAAAGCCTGCTGTTCCTGCAGCTTTACTGGATGTATTTCATTACTTAAGTCCAATTCATTTCTTTGCATAGAAAACACTCAGAAAAAAGTTATGGCAGTTACCCAAGCAGCAGTGTATTATCTTACCTGCCCTTCCAACATGTCTCTTTGCAGTCCTGCCCGTTCTTGCTCAGAACTGTTGGTTCTTCGGATTGAAAGACTGTGTGATTTACGTTTCTGCTTTGCTTGGCGAGCAGATGCACAACTTCCACTTTCTATTGGCATTACTTCAAAAAAACAGCTTCACAGAGGCTCCTATGATAAACTAAGGACAAGCATTACACATTACAAATTGCCTTGCCAAACTAACCAGAGTTTAAAATTTGTTTTTCTCAAAATACTTAGTACTCTTAGTTCTTCTACATTTTAGAGGAGTTTGGGTTGTCATTAAAAAGAAGGGATCCCTATTTACTGACAGCTATTCTTCAAACAACATTAAAATCAAAACCACATATGCATATACATAAAGTGGAATAACTTTGGCATTTCTTATTCATTAGCTAGCAAGCCTTCACAAAAGGAAAATAAATTCCATGACCTTGCTCATTTTGGAGAACAGTAGCAGAGGCAGCCCCAAAATGCTTCCAGGAAACAACTACTAGACATACTATAGTTCACTGAAACGCATGCAAAATTAAAACCCAGCTGGAAAATGAAAGCAAACAGACATGATAATTTAGGGACACTGTCAGGTTACAAATGTATTATGCAACATCAAGTGTTAGTATACAAATTGTAACAGATGCGCCTGTTTACACATAAGCAGGAAATAATTTTAACAGAGGAGTTCTCAAAACCACTTTCCACCATTTTTGACAGCTCACAGTTTCACTTTCTTGATAGTAAAAGTGCACGTGAATTTAGGAGAACAGTGAAAGTGCACCTGACTTACCAGGCTGTTGCTGTTAAATTTTGTCAGCTTGTCAAAGCCACATATGCATTTTAATAACCCTAGAAACACCTGACAGTATCACCAACTAATATTACCATGCGTGATCTACTGCTTTCCTCTGTTTAAGAAAAATCAAATGATTTTTGATTTCTTACATAAATGTGGAGAATACATTCTTCAGTGTTGAAATTTGGTTTACTTTTTTTTTTTACAAATGTTTAATTACTGCAATCTATTTCTTATTTATTTAACCCTCATATTCAAAAGGAATTATTTTTAGTTCCAAGTGGTACCAGTTGTTAAACATTTCAAATGGTTTAGAATTGACGACTCAGAATTTTTCAATCAGGAAGATTGAGAACAAATAAAATTTAAAAATAAAAAATCATTCTCCAGCATCAATAATTTCTGAAACAATAGTTTCAATTTAAAAGAGCTGCAATAGTTTGAAGAGAAATAGGAGAGCAGAGCTGGCAAAGCTAACAAGGCAACTGAGCTTCCTTTTAAATAAGCTGATCAGAGAATATTTAAACCAAACCCAGGGCCACTTCCAATTTAAGATCCGCCAACACACTGGATCTCAAGCTAGGAATGAGCACCACCACTATTAACAAGACTAGGCATTAATCAGTTCAGCGAGTTTGACACAGTATTTTCAGCTTTTTAACACATCATAAAGCCAAGGAAAAATGTATCTTACTAGAAACAAAGTATGCACCATGAATAAAAACACCTTTACATTTTCTTTGGGTTTTTGATGCCATGAAATGAAAATTATGAAGATATATAAATTTATATTAAAATGAGATGAGATTTAGTTAAGGTTTTGATGCCCATCCGTCTCCAAATTTGCTCATTAAATAAAGGTAGTATTTTAATTATCTTTTGGAACACCCGAGTTCCAGTAACCTGACATCAACTCCATAGAGAATCTAAAATAAAATTCAGGTTGCACCAGTTCCATGCACTGCACTGAAATTATTTTGTTCATTTTCTCTGGACTCTTCATAGTCCTCCCCTGCACCTAATCCCATCAGAGCTTTTTATGTGTGATTAATCAGTAGTAACTAACTGGGTATAGTCACAAATTAAGGACAAAAGAAGAGAAAATCTACCATTGGGTAGTTTCTTATTTGACTAAATTTCTTTTTTCACTGTACTAGATTTCTCTACCAGAGAAACGGAGAACCCAGATTAAAATAAAAAATGAAATAACATCCCATAAGTAAGTTACTGACAATTTTCTGGGCTTCACAAAGTATCTTCCTGTTCTTAGACATATGGTCAAGAATTAGGAACAGGTTTTCAGTGCTCATCACACTTCTTTATTTTCAAAATATGATCAGATCCCAAATGCATGTTTATTCTCCTCATTTCCACCCTCCTTCCTATCTCCCTTGGGAACCACTCTTTCAATGGCTTTCAATTTACCCTTTTCTGCGGCATTTGGGATCACTTTTTAAGGCCCGAAGCAACAAACACACATAGGTGTGCTAAACAGTTCTGTATCTATACCTACACAGTTACATATAAGCACACCGGTCAGGTAACACTGTTTCATTAAGATCTGTGTTAAAAGAAAAAAAATCATTTCTGATTTCTGCCAGGTATGGCTCCTGAGCTGTAGTTACAGAGATGATACAGTTTATGCCTTACCTGGTATTGTTTTAACTATAGTAACTTTTATTTGCCTTCTGCTGCCAAGCCACTTCATTTTAGGGGACTACCAAGAAATATCTTTTGCTGGATTGATTCATAAAATCATAGAGTGGTTTCAGTTGGCAAGAACCTTCAAAGGTCATCTGTCCCTCTGCAGTGAGGGACATCTTCAAATAGATTGGGTTGCTCAGAGCCTCATTCCAACCTAACCTTCAATATTTTCAGGAATGGGACATCCACCATCTCTCTGGGCTATCTGTTCCAGTTATTTTACCACCCTCACTGTAAAGTCTGATCTTGTATCTAATCTAAATCTACCCTTTTTTGGTTTAAAAAATTACCCCATGTCCTGTCACTAAAGATCCTGGCAATAAGTCATTGTCTTTCTTATATGCCTCCTTTAAGTACTAAAAGGACACAGTAAGGTCTCCTCAGGCTGAACAAGACCAACTCTCTCAGCCTTTCCTCACAGGAGAGGCGCTCCAGCCCTCTGATTGTATTTGTGGCCTCCTCTGGACTCGCTCCAACAGGTTCATGTGTCACAGGCCCCAACTGGCTTTCTGAGCCACAGGTGCACTTTGCTACCCCACATCTGATTTTTCATCCCCTGGTATATTCAAGTCCTCCTCTGCAGGGCTGTTGTCAATCCATTCATCCTCCAGTCTGAATCGATAGTGGGGACTGCCCTGGCCCAGGTGTAGGACCTTGCACTTGTCCTTGTTGAACTTCATGAGGCTCACATGGGCTCACTCCTCAAAGCCTGTCGAGGCCTCTCTGGATAGTATCCTTTCCCTCCAGTGTGTCAGTGCACCACCACTCACTGTACACTCAGCATCAATATATTTAGATTTGGCAGCTATACATTCTAGCATGTAGAATTTAAAGGGACACTGTCGAATGCATGAGATTTTATTTTTATATAGTTAAACGCTCACTTTAACTACACAAAAGTTTCTACTTTCACAGTTCATAAGCAAACAGGAACAATGAGGTAAGAACCACCACCATTACTCTATTTGGTAGCAGCACTTTACCTGCAGCCAGTGTCATTGACAGTAATTGCACTCTCCTCATGCACCAGCATGACCACATCACTCATGCACTATTCTGGAGAGAGCAAGCATGCACACTCTTCCCCAGGCTCTGCAAGAGGGTGCTGCACACAGCCATAAGCCAAGCTGAAATCAGAGGCAACAAGCAGGCATGTGCATACAAAGGACAAGAAGGAAAAGCCAGAGGGAACTAGATTCAATGCCATTAATATTGTTCTGAATTCCACCAAATAGCCTTACAAACTTTCAGTAAGGGAGCAATAATTAAAGAGTTTTTAGAACCAGGACATAAATTCAGTTTTAAAAGTGACAGTGTCCCTTTAAATATTAACTTCACTTTGACAATTTCAAGGCTATTTTGATGCTAATTGCAACAGTAAGAAGCTACAGGTTTTCCAAGAGTATATTTCACATAACAGATCCTTGGCAATATGATGCTGGGAAAAAAAAAAAAAAAAAAAGGTGCTCATTTCTAGCAGTTACCTGATTCCCCTTATTGTGTAAGGTTTTCAGACAACGAAAATTACCTGTCCAGTATATCAGTGTCATGTTACATATCCTATGAAAACCATATTAAATATTGATTAGTGAAACAGTCAGTAGCATACAAACCAAAGTCTTTCACATTTTTGAAACTTTTGTAGCTAGAACACACCAGATGACAGGAAAGGGGGATGAGGGAAAATACCTACACAAGTCAAGACTAAGCACCAAACCCCAGTCAAACAAAGTAAGAAAAGAAAGGCTTCAAAATGACCCACTATATATTGTTAGTCAGATGTAGGTAATCATAACTTCTGAGGGTTACAAATGGGTTCTGAAAAGTTCAATTCACTTCTACTTCGTAATACTGTAAGTCAAATGAAAAATCACCAGTAAGTATGGGAGTCTGGTTTCCTCAACCAAGTACAACCAAGTTCACAAAAGCTAACAAGTAACAATCAAGAGCAAAAAAGGCTGAATAAAAGTACTAAGGAAAAAAGAAAAGCAATCAGAAAAAGGGGCAGAGTCTTGTGTTACTAAACTATATTCATTAAGGGTGGCAGTTCACAAGTACTGTATTATTAAAAAGTGTGCTTATGAGACATACTGAGTTTTTCGGCTCAACTGCTTTTGAAAACAAGACATCTGCATAGTGTTTTTCATGCAATGGTCTGTCAAAGCCTCAGGAGAACAAATTTCTGACAAAATCAACCAGCAGCAGGAGAAAAAAAGATGTCCTAGAAAATACCTAGACCACAGGTGATTACTACTTTCTGAATGCAAAGATACTTTAGTATTTTGGTTATGCTGTTTAATTAAACTCACAGCATATTTTACAGCACATTAAATTAAAGTTCTGCCACCCACCTTTCTCTAGCAGATGTTACTATGTATTCAGTCACAGGAAATATTTCAACAGAGTAACAGTGAAGAGATGTGTAACCAAGTACTGTTTTGTCCAGCTACAACAGAGAAATGGCACCAAAAGCGCACACACACATATCTTACTAGACTTAAAAATTCAGTGCAGCAGTCAACTAATCTTACTCGACTACTTGTTCAATGCTTGAACATGGAACAAACAAACTGCTGAAAGGAAAGTATTTCTGGGGTATGCATTCTTCTGAAGCCAGAGAGAAAATTTGTTTTAAGTGTCAGAGCACAGAATGTCTACAGTATTGCATTTCCTTTTTTGTTGTCAAGATAACACACAAGTCTGCAAAGGGAAAGCACCAGCAAATTTCAGCAACATCTCTTACCCAAGCTCTCCCTATTCCATTGTGTTTAGAGTTTAGCAATAGTAATACTTACTATTTAAATGACTGTGACCAAAAAAAAAAAAAAATAAATAAAAGCATAAAACCACCTACACTACAGAAACAATTCTTAAATCTCTAAGCCTCAGGTGTCTCAAGCAAAATTTCAGCGTATACTACATAAAAAAAATAAAGGCTTTTTACAATAGTAATTATTGTCCTGTGTAACATTAAAACCTTACAATAAAAAGATGTCAGTTAACATGAGATTTGCTCTTTTTTCACAAAGCAGGGAAGGAAAGTGGGAAGAAAGGAGAATGATTACAGCTATTAAGTTCTTAATTACATGTAACTCAGTTTGACAGCATAACTCCCGAGTTAAAGGAATTTAAGTATCAATATATGCCAGTACAATCTTCATTCACGTGCAAAGAAATCAAACTTAAAGGAGTAAAACTTCTATTTTGAGGTCTTTGGTGAACAATTTGCTTCAAGGATGCTGTACATTCAAGTACCATTAATTCAATGCAAGCTGTAATACAGCACACCTGAGAAAGATCAGGCCAAACCAACTTCTTTGTAAGACTAGTTGCTTTGCTAAAGATAAATATTTAGGAAACAAAGACATTCCAGATCATCACAGATGACGCCAGAACCACTGATAAGGGTGCTCAAACCTTATGAAATCACTTAAGCATTACAACATTGATTTTTTTTTCTAAATTTAGCGCATCATTCTTTCAAACAGAACTGGATGTTCCTCAAAATGTAAAAGGGGAAAGCGTCCACTACTGAAAAGGCAACAACTTACCCCTGACAGAAAGCATAGTAAAAAAGCTGCACTAATGAATTTTAAGTATGTTATACAGCTAGAAATCAATTATAAAAGCTTTAACACATTAGTAAGGATCTACTCTGAGCAAGCTTCTAACACCAACATCCAGGCATAAGCCAGCCCAGTTTTGCTGCTAGCAAGCTTTGATCTTGCTAGTTCAACTATGTCAGCAAATTCTGTAATGATACAAAAACCTGTGCAAATCAAGACTACGAAACAGTCTGCTAAGGCAAGAAATGATGCTCTCAACCATACTCACTTATTTCAACTAATATTAAACAACAATAATTATCAAACTTGGATTATTTGACTGTGCTCACTGTTTCAAGTAGTGTAAATGGTACAGTATAAGCTTACATTTAACACTAGTTAGTTATGACAGATACATACTATGAGTAGATACCGTATCTTGTTTTATTAATAGGTGTTGATTAGTTAACTTATTGGAGAGTTCAGTGGATAGCATCAGGTCCTGCTAAATTACTTACACCTGGTTAAATTCTAAAACATGTTTGAAGGCTACTCTATTTACTCAGATGTTTCACAGATAATTTAGCTCCCATTCCTATACTAGCAAATCCCTAATAGCCTAGAAATAGTCTGCATGCATGCTCAGGTATGCAAATGCAGGACCTGAGGGTGAGGAATCCTAAGGAAGTTCAAGAGCAAAGGCGGTTTAACCAGGTATTTGTTTCAGGAAGGACTGCACCACATTCAGAGGCCAGAATCTTACTGTGCTATTCTCTAAACAAACATTATTTAGGTAATTATTACTGATGTGCTAGATAAATTTCTATAATGCTTTTATGCAAGCAGAGTGACCTCTAACCTAGCTAATATCATTGCTGGGAATATATTACTTGCTAATAAATTAGAATATTTTACTGCTTAAGATCAACAAAAGCAAATAACTTTGACACTAATTATAACACATTTAGGAAGGTTTTCTGAAGCACCAAATAAATATAGCACATTCTTGAAGCATTTCCTCATGTGGCCTACTACAGAGAACCACCAAACCTTTCAACAGCACAGGTAATAGCAATGCAAGCACCAAGTCCTACCATTTTCAAACACCAAGACAGTCCGAAAATAGTCAGTATGTATTACTCGAGGATGAGAAAATAACAAATCACCCCAGCTTCTGAAGACACCATCACAATTCCTGTCCATTCCTCCAGGGTCATGAGCAGAGTACTAATAAACTCTTCCCCCAGAGGTTTGAAGATCTGGTCTCTGGAACAAGCCCCTCACCCGGTCTTACAACACAAGCTACTAGTCTTAGCTCCAAGAATGCCATGACATAAAACGATTCCAGTCTCATTTCAAATGTATAAAATCCAATACCACTTAACTTCTCCTTACTTGACATATATTAGTTCTGGCTTGCAATTTCTGGATTTTGTAGAAGTAAGCTCTTTTAAGGCACTATCAGCACACTCACAATGTTTCTCCCATGACTGTACCAACACCCTCAAGCATTTTAGTCCATACAAGAGACTGCATCCTTTAAACAAGTCCTAAATTTAAAAGACAGTGGAAGAGCATATCTACATTAAAGAGACAGTCTCATCTTAGATTTAACATGATAAGCCTAGTTTAGGGACAAATGTACACATAAACAACAGGCATTAAAGAAACATACAACAAAACACACACACAGAAAAACATTACTGTGTTCTCTGCCTTAAATTCTTATGTTGGGTCCAGGCACCTTCTCTTAAAATAACTGCCCAAGTCCACAACACACCAAGCTACATTTAAAGTTATTACAACAAGACACGTTAGGGTTGACACACACACACACAAGATCCTATCTAATGTAAACCATGGATTATAAAACATACTTGAGGATTGAGGTTACCAGCTCCCTTTCAGAAACATCACACAAGAAACACCAAGCAGCAGGCTTGGTTGGAAAACAGTTTGAGAAATTTGCTTAAGGAGAAGGATACGGCTGTTAAATTGCAAAATGGCTGCCTGAACAACAAACATTTGTATAATTTCAAGGTGTACTCAATGACACTGAATCACTTCAAAGAAGCTGCTCCGCCAGTTCTTTACGTAAATCTTCCACGAAATACTGTTATAGAAAGCACACTTGAAAACACCATAACAAAACAAACTTTTGCAAGCTGAAAGATGTAACAAGAAGGATAAAGACACACAGAAATTTCTCTTCCCTTGTAAACACCAAGGTGTCCTTGAACAACGGTTCAAGTCTTAACTTGAAAAAGTTTTCCTTGTTTTGCATAAGCACAACCTACTTATTTAATTTCCTTCTGCAAATGGAACCTGATATCCACTCAACCTCTGAAAGATAGAGCAGACATTAATTAATTCCTTCAGACTTGTCTTCACAATTTTTAGCTCAGGAAGTTGAATACTGCAAAAGGCTTTTTCCAGACTTAACTTTTCCCCATCTCAGTGTTCCGAGCCATGCTCCTGCTGCTGAAGGCCAGATCTACCCTGTCCCAGCACAAACTTCATGTTATCAAACTTCATGTTATCAGGCAGCTGTGCCCCACTTCAGGGAATAGGGGTGTTTCACTACTCCATTTGTACGTATGTCAGAGAATCTGAACTCACACTAGTTACACATTAGTGTTAGCTAATGACGTACTACTACACTTGGCTTGTCCTTAGGATATGCGGTAGGACACAAAGTTAGGGACCAGAGTCTCCTCAACAGGCGCCCTTGGTTTCATTTCACTATCTACAGACCTGCAACCACCCTTACAGCCTCGGGCTGGAAGTGGTTAAAAAACACCCCAAGCAAATAAAGAAAAACACACAAGACAAATAGGAAAAGAGCAAGAAGGGCTAATTTTCGGTTATTTAGGGTTCTAAGAGAGAACGCGCTAGTCATTTCATGCGAAATAAACCGGAACAGGACGGGCTAGGAGGGGGTGCCAAGGCAGAAGCCCCGCTTGATGGCACAGGCCTGGCGAGGCGGCGGCACCGCACAGGTGACACCTTTGCCCCGCTTCCCTCGAGACCCTTTCCCGGGCGTCCCGCCCAGCTCTGCAGCCCGACCCCTCCCTTTCCCTACGGGTCCTCCCGCGCCAGGCCGCGCCCGCAGTCCCACTGGGGAGCCACTGCCCGCGGCGGCGGGGGGGCCTGGCTGGGCGGGAAGATGGCGGAGGGTCTGCGCCCCGCTAAGGGGAGCGAGGAAAGGGGGGCGCGGAGGCCGCCCACACTCACCTGTCAGCCACAGCCGGAGCGGCGGGCGGGAAGGGGAAGGGCTGCAGGCAGCGGGGGAAAGGAGGAGGAGGAGGAGGAGGAGGGTGGTGACGGGAGGAGCAGCGACAAGCCGGGCGCCGCGCTCCGGCAGCGACGCGACGCGCCTCTCTGGTGAGGAGCCCCCGGGGCGACATCCGGCGGCGGGCGGAAGCGGCCCGCGGCCCCCACTCGCCGCCATGGCGACGGGCTAAGTAGCGAGCGAAAGCTCTTCACCCCCGGCGGCCGCGAGCGGCTTATTTACGAGGGCTCGGAAATGCCGCCGGGTCAGGGCACAGGCCCCCATGGGACGGCTTGCTTGATTTGGGATAGGCGCCGTAAGCCCTGATAGATGGGGACCGGGGCACTTGACCTGAGGTGTGGCAACGAACACGGACCCTCCACAGAGACAGACCGACAGCACCGTAGCAGGTCGTGCCCGGCTGCAGGAATGGGGGCACCGCCACTTCCCCCCGCTTCAGTGGTTACCTTCCAACCCCTCAGCTCCCAGGCGTTCATTTAATACTGATACTGAAAAAGCCGAGTTGCGTTTCATCTCTTAACTATTGCCCAAGCGGACCACTTGGATGGACAAGAGAGATGAAGCTTCCCTGGAACACTGCTGGAACCCTTATTTTGTAATACAGAATGGCTGGAACATGCTGAATCTGGACCTACTCTGCTCTATCTGCGGGCAGTGAATCAAAGCTAATCGCTACATTCTGCAAGTAGACTGTTCCCTTTGAAGCTTACAACACATTATTGAAATGTGATTAATTCCTTTGCTGATTAATACTTAGAAGAAGCCTTCACCTAAAATTCTCATTCCTCGTAACAGATTGTGAAAGTCAAAAGAGGCCTTTGCCTAATTATTTTTTCTCTCCCTGCAGATTATCTGTCTGCCTCAGAAGAGGTCTGTGAAAAGGACAGAACATGTGCTTCAGAGTGAAGGCTGAAAATAATACATTTTCTTTTCATGTGCTTCCCAGCTACAAGTATGCCTGCTGTTCTTTTGTCTTATTTTTCCTTTCTACCTCATTCTGTGCAGTCATGTCTTAATTGTAGCTGTTGTAAGACTAACAAAAATAACGCTTTACCTATTTACTAGCACCTTTTTCATCACTGAAGGTCATTCTATAAGACAACCAGCCTCACTGCTTCAGAACTTCCCATCATTTTAGCCTATTCCCCTTCTTTAAAGCCATCAAAAGGGAGCAGAATGAGTAAGTGGCTGTAGGAGAGGAAAAATGAGGAGACAGGAGAGGCAAATGAAGACAGGCAAGAAACAGACTTGCCTGGGAGGAAGCCCGAACACAACCTGACCAAATGCTACTGTTTGATGTTTTGACTTCATAGAATGGAATCACAACAAAAAAAACCTAAACACAGTATTCCATTTGTGGCCTCACAAGTGTCAAATAGAGTGGGATGATGACCACTGTCTCTCTGTTGGTGATTCCTTTATTGATGTAACCCAGATCAGGGATTTCTTTGCCACAGAAGCACACTGTTCACTCATATTGAGCTTGTGGTCCACCAGGACCCTCAGGTCACTTTCCACAAAATTGCTCCCCAGCCACAAGGTAGAACCCAGCCTGTGCTGTAGGACTGGACTTTATCTAGGTCTTCCTTGAACTTCATAAGGTTCTTGTTTGCCCACTCTTCCAGTCTACCCAGGTCTTCTTGCAGAGTGGCTCTCATTTGGCCTTGTTGAACTTCATGAGGTTGGTACTGGCCCACCTCTCAAGCGTGTCAAGGTCCCTCCAGATGGCATCCCTTCCCTTCAGCATGCCACACGCGCCACATAGTTTAGTGTCACCAGCAAACTGGGTGAGGGCACACTCAATCCTGCTGTCCATGTCACCAACAAAGATGTTGAACAGGATCAGTCTCAATTCCAACACCTGAAGGACACTTCTCTCTTTGTAGCTGGTACAGTTGCGGTTATCTTAGGCAAGTCACAACTTGAGTCCCCAGCTGTTCTGTTCCTAACCATTTTTTTAGCCTTATTATTTCTACCAAAATTTCTTTATCCTAATATAATTCTACTGTACCATAACAGGTTTTTTGCCCCACCATACTGTACCATAACCTTTCTTTCCCCCTGAAGAAACAGAAAATACTTCATCAAGAAAAGTCAGGGGCTTAAACAACAAACAACTTTTTCTTTGATGCAGGGTGGCCCTGACCTTGTGTGGTTGCAGTTGTTTTTTCATAATGAAAGAACAGCAAGTGGCTGGCCTGTTGCCGCTTGAGCCCTGTTACTGGTTTGGTTTTGCCATGGCAGTACAACAGCAACAGGCACTGTGTGATGTATAGAAGCAGGTGCAAAACAAAAGACTGCACCTTCTTTTCACAAACTACTTGTTTTAAAACAGCAGGCATAGATAGCAACACAGGAGCATAGGGAGCTTGGGGCAGTACTAGTTTGCCTCTTAGCAGCAGCTAAAAAGCTTTTTAAGTAGGCATTTCAGTAGACTGAGTAGCAAAAGTTACTGCACATCACCTTCCAGACCTAGTTCTGCATCTGTGGCTGTGCTTGAGAAGATAAGATACAAGGCTTAGGAAACCAGCAACAGACTAATAGTTGAAAGAATTAAGATTTTACAAACCTGTAAAAGAAACATGAAAAGGCAAAGTCCCCTGTCCAGAGCTCAAACCAAAAGAAAGACAAAATAAAACTTATCTAAGAAAGAAAAGGACTCACGAGTTACTTCTTCCATATAGAAAACATCCCAGCATCTCCATTCTAAAAGAGTGATTTCCTGTATCATTAATCATTGCTTTATGCTGTACAATAACACTTGGAAGTCATCCATCGTATCACTTTCCATCATGCTGAAGGTAGCAAAACTAAATGCAAATGCAGTATCCTACTTACATATTTAGCATACATGCATTACATTTTTACTACAAAGCCATCTATCTTCTCTGAAGTGAGCTGAAGCCAACCCACTTTCCTGAAACAGGCCTTTAAGAAAGAAGGAGCAAATGAACAACTGATTCATTAGGAGAGAAAGCTATTCACCTCCTCATCCAGGCTATTGTTGTTCTGCATGTAAGTGGATTACTTAAATGTTTCTTGAAGAGCTGTGGCTTCAGGGCAGGAGCAGACATCCAGGAAGAATTTTTCATAGAGACCAGGAACAAGTATAGCTCTATAGATGAGAAGGAAGAACTCGAAGTCTTTAATATCAGAATAAGTGAAGAGGAAGCTTAAAAAAGAGGTGGGTTGGTTGTGAAAAGTGGGGGAAAGTCCTTAATTTTGCTTAGCAAAGCTGAAAAGTGAGATGTGTCTCAGACTGTGCGTTGTAGGCTGGGGTCAAACCCCTGGTTTGTTCAGCATATATTTTACTCTGCTTTACTGTCTTCTTATTTAATTTGCTGAATAATTAAGGCATTTAGCTCTTGTTTGGTGGGGGTCACATTTTCTTTACCTTAGTAGAGAGCAAAATTATGTCAGTGATTTGCAGCTGGTTGGATTTTCAGGTGAAATGAGAGATTTTTCAGTGGTGGTAAGACTGCTTTTCCCTTGTTAGAGTGTTTAGAAACAGTAGGCAGAGTTCAGGGGATGCATAAATTAAATCAAGACTTAAAGGCATGTATATGTCACTTCAGGTACGCCTCTGTTTATGTGGGGTGAAGTAAAAGTTCTGAGGTTTCAGTGAAATGCGTACCATTACAAAAACGAGGCTGCTTTATCTTCAACACAAAGAACTTCACTGAAGGAACAGGGCAAGTCTGGAGGGGAGTGAGAGAAACAATGATGCAGGTGAGAAAGCACGTAATCCTGAAAATGCCTTTGGTTAAAGGTTTGGGTGATTTCTCCCTTGTCTGTTTTGTGAAAAGGGGTTACTTTGTCTCTTTCATCTTTTTTGGCTGCTTTGCTACCTCTCATTAACCACCAGCACTTTATGTCAGACATGCTGCTCATCAGTGTTGCTCCAGGATAAGTGCTTTGTCTGTGCAAGCCAGGAGCTATAGTTTTTTTTCTGACAGGTTCTAAATTGCCTATATAGAAGTTCTCAATACTTATTACTAGGAAGAAGAAAAAAACTCTTTTTTTCTTTAACCCATTACCTATGGGGTTGTTTTTCTGGTATCACTCCATTGTGTAGCCTGAATGTCACTGTGCACATCTGCTCATAGGTATATGCCATACATCAGCTGTGCCCCCTGTGCAGACCCCATTTCTGTCTTTTAGGGTAGAAATTTCTATTCCAACAGGGCTTCACTCTCAGGAGGGCTTGTTGTTAACTCAATTGTCTTCATATGAAATGCTGGTTTGTATCTCCATCTCAGTACCTTGAGGATCTGGGGTAGATTGTCACTTCCATTTGGGTACACTGGATCAATAAAAGTAGTGAGTGATCAGTATGGTCAAGGATGTTATCAGTAGTTCTACAGAGCTCAATATCCACTTCCTGTGTTTTCATGCTCAATAGTGACTCAGGATAAAAAGTAACTATGTGCACATTTCAATCCTTTCTGAGAGTGCATGTTAATTATTACCAATGTGCTTGTGATAATATTACACTTGTAGTATGTTAATGAATAATACAACATTAATGGTTTTACGTTGCGTTTTCTATAGTTATAGGGATATATAGCCGCTGGCATGTTTGTTGGTTTTGGTTGTTTGGGGTTTTTTTCACTTCTGATGCTCTCTGCTGGTTTTGGGTGGCTTTCAATCAAACCACCCCCTGCCCTGTATCAAGTTCTGCAGAGGGAAACCCCTGTAAAATAACCCCATTTGTAGGACATTAACTGTCAGTTTGAACATTTTGTTTTGCTAACCCCATCTGTACATGAAAGGCCATCTGTCCTTTTCACAAGAAAACTCAAGACAGACCAAAATGCTGGAATGTGATCTGAGAGGCAATCAGAAAGAGTAATGCACCCAAGACAACATGTGAGACATCATTTCTAGGCCTTTTGTGGACTCTTAACAATAAATCCAAATCTGCAGAAGGCAATGAACTGGCAAAAGAAGTCTTACTCCAAACATACTCCATTATGGTGATGTGAAGTTTCTACAGAGATACTGATGCTCCTCTGCCTTTAGACCAGGTACCTAAGGCATTTCTAGACACAAATATTGGAGAGGCTCACCTTGACATCTTGCCTGTGCTTGGTTCCCATCCAGAAACTGGGCGTTTCTTTCTCTGCCCCTTAAGAACTTAACAAGTTCAGCAATTTCAGAGCTTGGCTAACAGTTTTTTTATGAACTGTAGCTGTCAGCGAAGGAAGGGAGACCACTACTGTTCCCACCTTGAAGAGCGCCACAGGCTGTGATCTGTACAGCACACACCCTCCGATTCTGTGGGTGCTGCTATAGAGCAAAGAAAAACAACCAAGTGTGCTACTGAGACTGCCAAAAAGCCCTGTGACTCAAGTCTTGTGGTTAGGGTATCTGCCTAAAAGAATGCTCCCAGACCCGAGTATAAATTCGATCCATAAGCTGTTTGCCACAAGCAAGGTACACTTGTAGGAGCTGGCACTGTGGTGCAGCCTTTAGGTTTTCCTGCACGGTTGTAAAGACACTAGGCAGCGCTCAGTGTTAAAAATGCTTAAACCTCCTCACTGCCAGGAGAAGATAAAGACTCTTTTCATCCTCACAAGCTGCTGCAGCGCGGCTTGCCCCCAGATGAAGGCCTGGGGTCCGCTCTCCTGCACTGCGGTACCTCTGCCTGGCCCGTGACGCCCTACATCCATCCTCGCCCCATCCGCCCTGGCGTACCCCAGCACCGCGTAGCCCTGCCAGGACTGAGCCTCGGCGCTGGGTCAGAAGGTCCACCCGGAGGTCGGAAGGCGCCCGGAACCGCGCCTCGATATCACAGCCGATGCCCTCCTCCCATCCTGCCGGAAATGGCTGAGCCCGGCTGGCCACAGCCTGATTGGGCTTCCTCGCTCCCATTGGCTAGCTCGCCGTTATTCTCTCTTCCTATTGGTCAGTGTCTCTACCTCGCTGTGTTGCAGTTGGCTGCGCCCGTCTGTCACTGTTAAGTCCCTCCCCCTGGGCAGGCCGCCCCGCGGTGGGGCGATGGTGCGATGCGGTGACGTTGGTGTGGTGGGGCGCTGCCATTGGCGGAAGCGGGCTGACGGGCCATGTGGCGCGTGCTGAGCCGGGCCAGAGCCGTGGCCCACCGCGGAGCTGCCGTCCCTCTAGGGTGGTGCGTGTGGGACCGGCACCGAAGGCTCGTGTCCGCAGGCGGCCTGCGCGGGGGGAAGGCCCTGGCTCTGAGGTGACAGTGGGGAGAGAGAGAGAGAGAAGGCGGCTGCTGAGGGACGGGATTGGGCCGAGCAGGAGCGGGGCAGCTGCGGAGGGACGGGGGCCAGGAGAGGAAGGGGACAGCGGAGGCAGAGGGCGGTGGGAGCTGGCTGCAGCGTGGACAGGGGCCGCGAGAGCAGGGTTTGGGGGTGTTTTGGAGAGCCTGGTCAGGGAAGCCTTGTTGCTTAGTTCTTACTGATGGGGGGGAATCCAGTTGTGCACACGACGTGTGGCACTATAAATGTAGCCCAGGGTCAGTGTGCAGGACGAGCATAGGCTGTGAGCTTAGGCGAGGTGAACTCTGTGCTGGGTCAAGCTTGGAGTTGGATTTCCTGCACTACCACCCTCTCAAAGCGCTACATTTGACACAGCTGTTCAGCAGCAGCTGCTGCAGGGCTTTCAGAGAAGTGAAAAAGATCTTGTAAGCACCTATCAAATGTTGTGTGATTTGTATTGTGAATAGGAAGTTTCAGCAATCTAAAAGCATGTAAACCCCCCAAAATATAGTTGGTGCACAATGTCAGAAAACCTAGCCATTTGGTTGTTTCTCCTACTCTGTCCAGAACCTTATGGATGTTGTTAAGTGCTGAGTGACTCCGTGTTCTGTTGTTTTTATTTACAGTAGAACGTGTGCCACCATCACGATGCCTGAGGTAAGCACAGACCACCTGGATGAGCAGCAGGTGCAGCTCTTGGCAGAGATGTGCATCCTGATTGATGAAAATGATAATAAGATTGGAGCGGATACCAAGAAGAACTGCCACTTGAATGAGAACATTGATAAAGGTACGGCTTGATTGAGCCTTCTGCTCAAACAGTTAAGTTGAATGAGTGTTTTTACAAATACAGTCGTGATTACATCAACAGGTTGATCAAACCAGAGCAAGTGCTTCCTCACAACCCCCTCCTCCCCCAGCGTGCAGGATCTAATTTTAAAAGTACTGCAGTGTGGAGGAACACACAATGGGAGGCAGTAGCAAAGGAGAGAAATGTGTCATTGTGGGTATAAGCTGCATATCTTGATAAATACTTCTGAATCCCATTTTGGTGATAAAAATCCTATTATCCTGTTATAAGCTGTTATGGATACCTGATTCTATGTACCTTTTCCTAAAGAATGCCACTGAGTTCTTTTCAAGTAGAAGAGGCTTTGATTTTTAAGTTCTTTCACGCAGAGTTCCGGTTCAAATACTGCTAACAGAAAAGGCTTTTGTTGGTGTCATTCTAATTGATTGTGGATTTTATTTGAGGTTGGTCAGATTCATGAATCTCCCATAGTAGTGTGTGACCTCCTTTTTTGTACTCGGAGAAAACATCTTCCTGATAAGTGAAGAATGGAGCTTTGAGCAGCCTGGTCTAGTGGAAGGTGTCCCTGCCCATGGCAGGGGGTTGGAACTGGGTGAGCTTCAAGGTCCCTTCCAACCCAAACCATTCTGTGATTCTATGAATAACAAACTCAAAAGGGGCAGAAAAAAAGCAAAATTGCACTTAAGTGAGCCTATCTTCCAGTTTACTTTTGCAGTTCATGAAGTGTCTTGAAATTCCATACAGGTTTTCTTAGGAATTTGAGTCATCTCTTTTTGATAATAAATTTTTGGTTAGTGAACCCTCCTTAAAAGCTTGCCCAAACGTGAGTGTTCAGAATGGCAAACTGACCAAGTTTAGAAGAACTCTTCTGTTGCATTGTTGTTCTTGGCACTTCTCTAATTTCATAATGTTTGTATAAGCTGATACAAGCCCCTAAATAATAACTCTGAAGTTTTTTGTCAAATCCTTCATTTTTAACATGAGTTTTTAATGAGATTACTCCAAAATGAGGCTGTTCTAAGCTCTTGAAATGACTCCATATGTTTTTTTTTCTCCTCTGTTAAATAGCTCTCCGTGTTTTGTTTTTCTGTTTTCAGGTTTACTGCACCGAGCTTTCAGTGTTTTCTTATTTAATACAGAAAATAAATTGTTACTGCAGCAGAGGTCAAGTGCAAAAATTACATTTCCAGGTTAGTACTAAAGCACGCTGTATTTAGCAAAATGTTCTATTTAAAAAAATATGCCAGCCTAATCTTACAGTGTAACTCGTTTTTAGGTATTAGAAATTACTGCTTCAGAGGGGATATACTTCTAAATACTCCCTTGTATTGATGTTGAAAGACGTACGTACCTTGTGGATGATGTAAGACAATGAGAACGGTAGCTTATTGCTGTATATGTTCTTGGGAAATGATTGTTCCCTGAAATAGCTGATCCTGTTTATGCAAGCGTGGAGTTTGTGTTGTTTACCTTCTCTGCTGCAAGATTTATTTTGTGGAGCTGCAGGAATTGCTGTGGTAGCTGTGGAGAGTGTTCTCATTCCACTGGTAAAGAAATACATGCAGGTGATAGGTAGCAGAGCCCTGCTGCTTGGAAACAGCTGCATTGTGCTTCAGTGAGATCCACAGACGGTTAGTTGTGTATGTCTTCACCAAGATTTTTTTAACTGTAGAAGAAGCAAGACTGTGTGGCCAGGCAATTTTTGAGCTTCCTGAACCACTACTATTGAATGCAGATGGAGAGACATAAAAATAATGAAAGAAACATAGCTTACATGAGGTGTGTTAGAGGAAGCACAAAGCGGTTTCAGAATTTTGGATGGAAAATGAATTCAGGTGTACCTAACCCTCTCCTGGAAGAGAGATCTTGTTTTCTTTCGTTGACTGCTAGCTACTGAAAATGCTGCAGAGTAGTCTGTAGTAACCTGGCTCTACTTTAGATGCTTTTGAGCTGGACTGGACAGATAAAAGGTTGGCCAATCACAGTTATTCTACATAACTGAAAAGTAATTTTTCATATACTTAAAACAGAATACACAGGATGTGTCCTTTAAACGCAGGTATAAACTGAATATTTACTTCTACTTACAGGCAGCTGCTCTCAAAGCTCTGGGAATATTTCCAGTATTCTGTTGCCTATGAACTCCCCAAAGTAATTTTAATTGTCACTTGCAGGGTAAACAAGACTTTCATAAACGTGCTTTCTAAGTAGGTGCTGTCATGGGTATGAGAATGCACGTCTCCATGTGAATCAAACTAACCTGCAGTGTACTTCTATAGGCAAATTTTGGTGCAAAATAGGTGAAGAAAAATATGAGGTGAAAACACCTTCCTTCCTCTCGCACCCTTCTCTGCAAAAGAGAAACAGTTGTGATGCATTGCTCTACATCTCTGCGGGGGGGGGTGGTGGTTTTGTGTTTTGTTTGGTTTTTGGTTTTGTGTTTGGTTTGGCGTTTTGGTGGCTTTGTTGTTTGTTTCTTTTTTTCGCCAATACTTTGTGTGTCAAAAATGTCCTGATCAAAACTCCTTGCAGATTGTTTTACCAACACTTGCTGCAGTCATCCTCTAAGCCATCCACTGGAACTGGAAGAAAACAATGCCATTGGTGTTCGGAGAGCAGCACAGAGACGACTGAAAGCAGAGTTAGGAATTCCCATGGAGCAGGTAACAGAAGAACGGAGAAACAGGAATTCTTACCAATTTACAGGCTAACTGTATGTGGCAGCCAGGGTCAGCCTGAAACCTAAGAACAGACTGAATTTCAGAGATACGGAGGACTCAGTGAACTTCATCTATGTTCCAGGGTCTCAAAAGTTCATCTCAGTAATTGGTATTTTAGAATATTCCAGTGCTCAGACTGAGCATGAACCAAAAAGTAAATCAGGCTGTGATGAAGGATTGCATTGCTTCATATCTAGCCTGTGTTTTCCAGCTGGGCAGGCCATTCTGCTTGCCCAGGGGAAGGCAATATGACACCCTTCCTCTAGGACAACAGCAGAGTGCTGCTCACTTTTGGTAGGACTGCTGCTCCTGGAGGGCATCACTGTGAACATGCTGCCAAGAGCCATGTACAAGCCCCTCTGCAATCCCAGGCTTCCAATAGGAAGTAGCGTGGCCTTGGCACTCCGTGTTTGTTCCAGCCTGTTTATTTGTACAGCCTGCTTCTTGTACCTTCCTTTCTGGTGGCAGTTCGGGAGCGCACAGAGAGCAGGGTGAAGCTGCCTGAACTATGATCCTGGTCCAAATCTCTTCCCACGTTTTGTAACTTTACAATTGTGCCCTGCAACACAGGAGGAGCAGCGTGCGACTGGGAAACATGATGCAGTGGTGGTCCCCAGAATTAATTACCCAATCTGCCACTTGCCCAGATCCCTGGTAGATGAGGGTGTGCATGGTCTGTCATATGTCTTAGCTTTAGAATGTCTTTCCCTTGGGAGGTAGGGGGTAGGTGCAAGCATTTGTATTCCATTGATGCTTTGCGTCTGGCAGAAGTTATTTAGAACTTCATGTATAGAATCACAGAATGATTAAAGTTGGAAAGGACCTCAAGATCATCTGGTTCCAACCCCCCTGCCAGTAATTCTTTGTGAAGTACATTGCAGTTGTACACCTGGGGGAAAAACAGTGTTTAAGGAAGCAGGTAACAGCTGGGAGTTCTACTGCCATGCCTGGCACTGCAAGTGTTCCAGTTTGGCACTGGCTCTGACAAGTGTTTTGGCTGCAGGTGACTCCAGAAGAAATCCAGTACCTGACACGGATTCACTACAAGGCCAAGTCCGATGGGATCTGGGGAGAACATGAGATAGACTACATCTTATTTGTACAGAAGGATGTGACACTGAATCCCGACCCTAATGAGATCCAAAGCCACTGCTACGTGACACAGAAGGAACTGAAACAGCTCTTGGACAAAGCTTCCAGGGATGAAGTTAAGATTACTCCATGGTTTAAACTTATTGCAGAGACCTTTCTTTTTAAGTGGTGGGATAACTTGCATAACTTGAACAAATTCATTGATCACGAGAAAATACACCGAATGTAAGTAACTGGGGAAAAGGATGCTGAAGGCTGGCAGTGATGTGCTGTCTCACTGACACGATGGTAGCTCATGACTCAAGTTTACTGACTGCAGAAAACTTGGAGCATGTTTAGTAATGTGTTCTCATATGGAGATGTTTATAGCCAGTGTGGTTTTTTTTTCCTGTCTTCACCTTTTGGCCCCCAGCCCTGTTTCTCTTGGGAGAGTTACCCTTGATCTCATGTAAAATGGGTAGTGGCAACATAAGAAACATCTGGGCTCATTCTTCTCCACTACCTGGTGTGATACAGAAGATCCTCAGCCCAAGTGTGCCCACTTCGCTCTTGCTCCCTTGCACAACTCCACACCCTGTCCCGCTCCTCCAGTGGGCCTGTCCCCTATGCAGCAGCAGTGACACATGGATGCAAGCTCTGCACTGATGCTGAGCAGATAGGTTGCCTGAAGAAAAACCCAATTAATGCAAAGTAATCAGGATGACTTTAATTGCAGAAAGCAGATCTCTTCAGCTAGTGTACTCTATAATTAACTGAGCACATAAAAGCTTAAGTAATTGGACTGTCTGTGTGGACAGTTTCACTTTGAAGTGCTGCAATATATGTCATAGCTTTAGATAATAACCCAAACAACCCCTCTGCTCCAGTGTTGGGGCTTTTTTCCCCACCAACCTTTTCTGGTCAGTTGATGGCTAGATACTGGACATGCCTTAAAAAAAAAGAGGAGGGGTGTTAATTGTAGCACACACAAACGGTACTTGTCTAACACAGGAATTAAATGGCTTTTCTCCAACTTGCAGAAAACAAAGGCATCCTGATAGAAGGGTTTTTTTCACACAGCATCTACTGTAATGGTCATTTCCAGACAGCTCAAACTCCTTATACTCCAAAATTCAAGATTAACTACTTGTGGGCTTGCATTTTGATTTTGGTCTTGATCCCTACTTGCGTCTTGATTTTGGTTCATCAGAAGTTGCACCACAGTGCAAGAGCTAATCTTTTTTGATCTTGATGTCAAGGCTTTGTAAAGTAAAAGGCTTTATAAAGTAAGACAAATAATGTAGGGTGTCTCGAGTTAATGATTCTTGGGCTTTGTGGTTTATTTATCAATTGTGAGGTCTTCTGTTAGTGGATAGCTCAACATACATCTCCGAAGTTAACTTCTCCCAGAGGTGTCTTGCTGGAACAGCATGCCTTTCATACCATTTCTTGCTGTGTGTAAAACAGTTGTAACCAGTCTGTGTTTGGTTTCAATGTAAAACTCCTTTTTCCCAGAGGTTAACATGCTCTTTCATGTCCCAGTTCTGACTGCAGCACTGAAGCTTCCCATGTGCCAGCATCTCCCAGGGTTCAACACTTAGAGGTTTTTGTTAGAGCAAAGGTTGTTGTATGTTTATCTGACCTGATGTAGTCTTGAAAATAATAGTGGGTGAGGGAACAGTGATGCAGTATAACCACTCAATTATTCAGTGCAATCAGCCACATTGCCCAAGTAATGCATTACAGTACTTTTCAAATACTTAAAATACTTTTAAAATAAAATATTATCTTAAAGACTGTAATTAAAATACCTGAGATAAACCCTGGACTGTTGTTTTCTTTCCGAACTCTTCTTACCTTGTTGTATTTTAATAGTGACAATAATAACTTAAGGGTTCTTGCTGTTTTGAACATTCCATTTCACTGGATTCCCATTTAATCTTTAAATCTCTGCATTTTAAGTGTAGTGTTCAGGAAGCATATTTATAATACATAACTTTACTAACCTCTGGGTAATTCCTACCTTGTTCTTGACCAACCAGTGGCAAAAAGGGAATATTTCATTTTTGTCAGTCTTCTGCCTTGAACACATAAAGCATTCTGCAAGATCAAGGTACGAGCTCTCTGAGCTTCAGGTTATCTAAGCTACTAACAACAGAGCCATGTATTTTTTAAACACTGTGATACTAGAAGGGAAAAGAGGACTAGAAATCAGTATTCACAGACAAGAGTTTTTATTTAGAATTCAGAAGACTCCTTTATCTTCTCTGTGTTTTACCAGATTTTCTCTTTCCAGCCAGCAGATGTTTTGGCCTCAAGTTAAATATGTGTCTGTCTGCCTCCCCTTTCCTGCCCAGGCGATTCATCTTCTTTTGAGCTTTCTTTGCCATGATCTTGACCTTCTTCACCATCTATTTAAAAACAAACAAACATTCCTCAATAACTCAGGTGACCATCTTTACCTTCTAAAAACCACTAATCTAGCTGATTTTAACAAGGAAATGAACTAACATACTCTATGACAGGCTTGATGCAAATGATGCTAATCCTCCTTAGCAGAACTGTTCTTTTTCCAGTACTCCAATGCTATGATCGCACTATCTCTAGAATCCCTAACTTACTGAAGGAGGAACTCCACAGTTTGTAGATCTCTTCCTTCGTATGTGCATTTGAGACAAAAATTTACAATGTACTTCCTTAGTCTGTAGTATTTGTAAGAATGAACAAGGCACTTTTGAGGTATGGAGTTCAAATGAACTGAAGATGAATACTGGACAAACAGAACCAGCCAGTGTGATGGTTCCCAGAAGCTGCTTTAAGTACAATCAAGCTGATTTATTATACAGACATATAATGGTTAGTGTTGAAAAGGACATTAAAGCTCATCCAGTTCCAACCCCCCTGCCATGGGCAGGGACACCTCATAGCGAACCAAGATGGGGCAGCCACAGCTTCTCACTACTAGTGAGAAGGTGCCAGTGCCTCACCACCATCATTGTGAAGACTTTCTTCCTAATATCTAATGTTAATATCCCCTCTCCCAGTTAACAGCCATTCACCCTTGTCCTATCACTACATGTCCTTGTAAAAAGTCCCTCTCAAGATTTCTTGTTGGACCCTTAAGGCACTGGAAGCTGCTCTGAGCCTTCTCCAGGCTGAACAAGCCCAGCTCTCTCAGCCTGCCTCCACAGCAGAGGTACTACTCCAGCCCTCTGAGCGTCTTTATGGTTTCCTCTGGACTTGCTCCTACAGGTCCACATCCCTCTTGTGTTGGGGGGCCCAACAATTAGTTTGCTAAGATTTAATTTCTGTAAAGGTAAATAACTTTAACAAACCTTTTCATCACGAAGACCAGAAACATCCCGTGGTGTGCGAGAGGAGCTGCGACTGCGTGCCACAGATTTAGGAGTTTCAGACTCATCACGTTTACGTTTCCTTGTAGTACTACGGGACCTTCTCACATAATGGGCCTGAAATTCAAAACATCACTTTAATCACAAAACTCAGAAACAATTGTCCCAGACATGCTCCACTTCCATACAAAAAACCAGGAAGTGGACTGCTGTGATACATTATATTGGTTATTCCATAGTGACATGAAGACCCTGTCAACTGTTGGTCACTGCCTTTCTGCACTCCAGTACAATACAAAACTTGGTAAGTATCAGCATACTCTTTTCACAGTTACTTCAGTTCTGACTTCTTTTCCAAGTAGATTTGTGCATAACGATAAAGAGACACACACAAATTAACGGATAGCAATAGTGAAGCAATTCTGCAACAGCAAAGCAGCAATGAAGAAACCTTCCGTGATTAGTGTCCTGTTTACAGGACAAAGGCCTAAAGAATTTCAGACATGAAGATTTACCATACTACAGCATAAGTATTAAATTCCTTCTCACTGACAGCGCTCTTAAATCAACATGGCACATCGGCTCAGAGCAGTGCAAATGCTTCCTTCAGATGTGTAATGTTGACACTCCTTGGTTCCTTAATACTGCTGGATTTGCTGTACAAAATGCATTTTTTAAAGATTGCTGATAAAATGAAATGTCTCCCACAGGCAAATCTGTGTTTGAAGCTGCCTTTCATCTAGAGAGGCCAGCTGCCCTCAAAAACTTCAGTTACAACTCACAGAATTCATGAACTGTAAAAAGATAAGCTTGATCTGTCATTACTACTATTTCAGACATAGCAGTGACTCGTCCAACAAAGCACACTGGAAAATAAAGTGTCTTTAGCCAAATCCTGTTTCAATCCTACACAAACTCCAACAGTCCTAATAGAAAGCAGTGTGTATATAGATATATATGTGTGTGATTAGCGATAAATGGTGTCTTTTCAGCCTACCCAACGTATTTTGATCACGTCACTCAAAATTCCAGTACTGCCTTGTCTGGGTTTCCTATTTTCTCCTTAATAGATCCTACCTCTCACCTGTGCTAACTGTAATAGGCATGCTCAGAGAAATCCAGTGTGTAACGAAACTGATCTCCTTTAGATAAGCATTGTGTTTAAGTAGCAAAAACTTACATCATCTTTGTTAGTCATGTCGAGTCCAAGATCTGTCATTTCCTTCTCTAGCACCTTCCGCTGGACCTGTAAAAAGACAGGCAAGAGAACATGTTTCTTTCCAGGAAGTATGGTTCTATCTTGTTTCTTGTCTTAATATACCACCATAAGCCCATTATACTGACCACACATTTATTCCTTTGGTACATCCCACAGGCAGATGATGAAAGTCGTAACTCCCTATTTCATCTACTGCAACTAAATTCTCTTCACCTGTAAATCCCCTTCGCAGGCCTGCAATGTCCCAGCATTCCCTAAAAGATCTTTCTAATAGTTTGCCTTTTTGGGGGGAAGGTGACCAAGAGCAGTCACTTCAGTCAGAAATGTCTCCTCCCCTCCTGAAAGACACACTGCAGGGAAGGTAAGAAATACTGGGTGCCAAATCAGCTGGATACCTTTTCTCAAGATGTCTTGTTGTCAGTTATTATTTGTAACCGCCCTGGGCTGCTCACAAGAGCTTTTCCTAATGGTATGAATTTAAAATAATAATAACAATATATGATGCGACCCAATCAGATGAGCTGAATTATATTCTTCAGAACTTTTTCTGCAATACATATGTGGAATTTTACATGAGACACACTTGTGTGACCCAAACCAAGAAGGGCTACTGTCACTCATCTGGTTTGGCCTCCACAATCAAGCAGTGGCCAGAACCCTTGGGAGGGCAGCAGGAAGCAAACAGCGAGTGAAGGGGGCAAACATGGGAAAGCTTGACAGCTGTACTACCCGATATTCTTGTATGTTCCTTTAAAGTTATTAAACATCATCAAGACTTTGATAGCATGTTCTCTACTCACCTTTTTAGCTGTTCTAGGCATCCTTGGACCTCGAGTATCTTTCTCCTTTGACTGCAGGATTTTCAGTTTCTTCTTTTCTCGGATCTGTTGTGCCAACTGCCGGATTTCCATCATCTCTTCATCTTCACTTTCTGGTTCACTGTCATATTCTCCAGCAGCTTCTCTCAGCTCTTCCTCTTTCTCCAATTCTTCCAGTTTCTTATATTTTGAAGAGATGAAATGAAAATCAAGATGCTCATCAAATCCTTGATTTACAATCCAAAATGTGACATTTTTGTGTGGCCCAGAGCCATGACAGCATGCAGACCCTTCAAGGAAGGAGCTAACACTCCTTAACAGACCCCCTCCAGCCACACTTAACGCAGCTGGTGATACAGCTTACTGTGAACCTGTGGGGCATACAACTATGCAGACTTATTTGATCACAT